AATAAGATAAATAATATAGTGAATGGTAGCCTCAAAAGAATAGGAAGAAACCGTTTATCGCTTTCTTTCTCAAATTTTGAAAATGCAAATGCATTTTTAAATAATAGTAACTTAGAGACACATAATTTTAAGGCATTTATACCTTCTTTCCATGTAACCCGTATGGGAATTGTGAGGGGTATTCTAAAGATTGGACAGAAGAGGAAGTAATCCAAAATATATCAGTACCGATAGGTTGTGGGAAAATTCTAAAAACCAGAAGAATAAAGAAAAAGACAATTAATGAAGGACAACCAAGTTTTATTAATACTGAAACCATTGTTATCACTTTTGATGGACAAATATTGCCAAAAAGAGTATTTATGTTTTACACATCATTAACTGTAGATTTGTACATTTACCCTACTATCCAATGCTATAACTGCTGTAGGTTCGGACATGTCAAGATGCAGTGTCGTTCAAATCCTCGGTGTTATAAATGCAGGCAAAATCATACAGGTGATAAATGTGAAGTAGATGAGGAAAATGTTTCTTGTATCTTGTGTAATGGTTCTCATTCAGCAATTAGTAAAAAATGTCCTGAATATGCACGTCAGAAAGCCATTAAAGAAACAATGGCCCATAGTTGTGTTTCTTATGCTGAAGCATCAAAATTTCATCCTCCAACTTCTAAACTATATTCAGATGTATTAACATCATCATCTCCTTCCAATAAATCTCATTTTCAATCTTCTTTCCTTAAAGAGAAATCATCATTACCACATATACAATCATCATATAAAAAAACAGTTACACTTAAACCACGCTCTCCTCAAAAAATACAACAAGGATATGATCGTTCTGCCCATGAAGCCATAGTTAAGGAATATAATATTCCTGCTCCCTCTAATGGTTGTGCATTATCATCAAATAATATTGACAATAAGCAATCCATCATTGATATTATTCTCATGCTTATTAAAGTGTTATCGCAATCAAAAATGATACAAACAACTTTACCACCGTCCAACGATGCCATTTACAATGTATTTTCTCAATTATTAACTTCTCACAATGGATTACAAAGTCCAAATAATTCAGTGGAACTGTCGTAGCATAACAAATAAGAAATCAGACTTATTTTATTTGATTAATAAATATAATCCTTTTATAATAGCTCTACAAGAGACTTGGTTAAAGCCAGGATATCCTTTTAGGATTTCAGGCTTTACAAGTCTCCGTGATGATAGAGCTGACGGATATGGCGGTGTTGCCATATTGGTCAAAATCTCCCTTCCTTTTTCTTCTTTTTCGCTTCCTGTATATAGCGGCATTAATGCAGCTGCTATAATTATAAATGGTATCTGTTTTGTTACTTTATATATTCCTGATCCTACATGCCAAATATATTCACAACTAGAACAATTATTTTCAATTTTACCTAAACCTTTTCTCGTAATGGGCGATTTTAATGCTCAGCACCAATCGTGGGGCAGTTCTACTTCTAATTTTTATGGTGGAAAACTCCTGACGATAATTGACACTTACAACTTATGTATTATTAACTCAGATGTACCGACACGTAGAACTGCACCGAATGAAGGGTTTAGTGCTCCTGATATTTCAATATGTTCTTCTGATTTAGCTTCTTCACTGTCGTGGTATCCTCATTCCTCTACCTTCGGAAGCGATCACTTTCCCCTCATTCTTTCTTTTCCAATTTCCATTCCCTCAAGTCGAAAGAGTGGTCCTCGACTTAAATATAATTTATCAAATGTAGACTGGAATATTTACAAACAATATTTAGATAATAAAATATCGGAGTTACCTATTGTTTATCATGGAAATGAACATCAATGTTGTAATGACTTGATAATTAATATGAAGGAGGTTGCTGATTTATTATTTCCTGTTAAAAATAGTGCTTCAGGGAAAATTCCCTCCCCACCTTGGTGGGACAAAGATTGTACGGAAGCAATTAAAAATCGTAAAGAGGCTGAAAAAAATTATAATAATTACATGACATCAGAAAATTTTGAAATTTACACCGCAGTTTCACGTTCTACTCGAAAACTACTGAAAAAAAAGAAATTGGAAGGTTGGAGAAGATTTTGTTCTTCTATCTGTCCAGAAGTTAATTCATCAGTCGTTTGGAATAATATTAAAAGATTCAGATCTGCCTTCAGTGATCATACATCACGTTCTGCACTCGATTTAACTTTAGCGAATAAATTTTTAGATCGCCTTGCTCCTAGTTATGTGCCGGAATGCCTTTACAATATTTCTCTATCCGTCTCTGACGAATTATCCGAACTTGAGTCTCCTTTTACTCTTGTAGAACTTAAAGGTGTTCTAGCTTGTATTAAAGACTCTGCACCGGGAGAAGACGGTATACCGTATTCCTTTTTTAAAAATGCTAGCGATGCGACATTAATTTACTTTTTAAATATAATTAATTCCATAATTATTTCGGGAAATATACCTACTTCATGGAAGTCTCAGATTATTATACCATTTCTAAAGCCTCATAAACCACCTTCTGAACCATCTTCATACCGTCCTGTTGCACTTTCCTCTGTCTTACTAAAGCTAGCTGAACATTTAGTGAAGAACCGTCTAGAATGGTTTTTAGAAAGTAATAACTTACTATCCCCGAACCAGTTTGGTTTTAGGAAAGGTAAGAGCACCTTAGATAATGTGAGCGTTCTTATTTCAGATATTCATATAGCTTTCTCACAAAATTTGTCAATCCTCTCAGCCTTTTTAGATATAAATTCTGCCTATGATAATGTAATAATTTCTATTTTAAAAACTAAATTACAAGCTTTAAATGTACCGGTAATGCTTTCTAATTTCATTATTAATATTTTATCAGAAAGAACAATACATATGGATCTAGATGAAGATACCAAATTATCTAGAACAGTATGGAAAGGCCTTCCACAAGGATCTGTTCTCAGTCCAATTTTATTCAACATATACACATACGATCTAGAATCATTCCTTGATAAATCCGTAAAAATTTTACAATATGCTGATGATCTCTTATTATATTTTATTGCGAAGTCCATAGAATCTGTTTCTGCCAAATTATCTGATTCATTAGATATGTTAAAAACGTGGTTAGATGCAAATGGTCTTAATCTTTCTGTAACCAAGAGTAGTGTAGTTTTGTTTTCAAGAATGAGATCACCGCAACAAATTAAGGTGCTTTATGATAACTCATACATTCCTATAAAGACTGAAATTAAATTTTTAGGTATCGTGCTAGATAATAAATTAACAGGTCTGTCCCACTGTAATTATATTTCCACGAAATGTGAGCGTAACCTCAACATTCTTAGGTGCCTTGCTGGAGTTTGGTGGGGAGCACATCCCGTTTCACTAAAACTTGCTTATAATGGTCTTATAAGGAGTGTCATTGATTATGGAACTTTTTTGTTAGCTCCAGGAAGTTCATTTGCTTTTAAGAAATTGGATTTAATTCAATCAAAGGCCTTGAGGATTATCTCTGGAGCAATGAAATCAAGTCCAATCAATGCTTTACAGCTCGAAGTCGGTGATCCACCTTTGGTTTTAAGAAGGCAATATTTATCTGATCGCTTCTTTTTTCGTTGTTTACAATTATCTGATCATCCGCTTATTCAAAAGTTATCTCAACTATATATCTTTATTTCGTCTTCATCTTATTGGAAACATAAAAAACCTCCATGTTTAATACAAAGTTATGAAAAATATAAATCCATAGAATCTCCCACTTTTACATCGTCCTGTTTTCCCATTTATAAATGCTCATATCAATCTTTAGTTTTATCTCCTAATATTAAATATGATTTTGGGTTATCAAAAAATGATTCAGAATTGAATGCCAAATTTATGTTTATAACTGACATTGAATGGAATGAATGGCACTACATCTTTACTGATGCATCAAAACCAGACAATAGCGGTTGTGTAGGTGTGGGTGTGTTTCATTCACAATTTAATATCGTTCAAAAAATTAAACTTCCACCGGAATCTTCAGTTTTTACCGGGGAATGCTATGGTATTTTAAAAGCTGTAGAATATATACTTTTAATGAAATTACATAAGGCAATAGTTTTCACTGACTCTATGAGCTCTTTGCAAGCTCTAGCCAAATATCCGTTTAAATCAAAACCAGTTTATCCCATTATTTGTGACATAAGACAAAGTCTTTATCTTTGCATGTTGAGAAGGTATTCCGTTTCTTTTGCCTGGTTACCAGGACACAGTGGTATTAGCGGCAATGACAAAGCTGACCTTATTGCAAGAGAGGCTGTAACTTGTGGTGATATGTATCCGTATCATAATTACTGTAGTGACCTAGCTTGTCTCCCAAAAATATATTTAAGGTATGCCTGGAAGGAATATTGGGAAAAAACAAGTACAATAAAAGGAAGATTTTATCGCCTTATACAACCCGATATTCCTTTCTAACCATGGTTTTGTAAATTAAAGCTTGGAAAGACCGCAACAACTATTATAACTCGTATGCGTCTAGGTCACGTATGCACACCTTCTCATTTATACAAGCTTGGTATTGTACAAAGTTCGTCGTGTAATTGCGGTGCTGAAGTGGCGGACTTGAATCATATATTCTTCTCATGTTCTAAATTTGACCACACCTCCCTTTTTAATCATCTCCGATCCATCCGTGTTCCATTCCCAACTTCTATTCTTACTCTACTTTCTTCCAATGATCCTATTATCTATAAATACTATCTTCATATATATATGATAACAATATTAAGATTTAGTTATATTACATGAATACATTTATAGTTGCATCAATTGCTTTTCCTATATATTTATAAGTATATTCTCATATGTACAAGTATATCCTTCATATCCTATAAATATCCTAGACCTAATCCTTATCCTTTCTAAATTCGTTTGTGTTAGGTATTTTTATTACTATTATCGTTTCCCCGTTTTGTTCTTGGCAAAATACCCTAATATCGGGGTGAACGCCACATAAGAAGAAAAAAAAAAAAAAAAAAACAAGTCTGTCACTCGTAATTTTAAACAAATTTCAATATTAAAAAAAATAAACAAACAATACATTACATAAATATAATTTTAATAGTATTAATTATGTTAAGAAACAAATTAAAGGTACACAACTAATATATTCTTAGGTCAGTAAAGAAAACTTGTCGAGATGGCTGATGATGACGGTAAGTAATAAATCCTAACCTCACAAACTATATAATTTAACTTTTAAAATTGTTAATATATAACTTATTAGCAAACAGATAACAATAAATTTAAACACTATTACAGCATGCAAAAGGTATGGATTCAGATTGTAATCGAAAAATATGAATGCCTGGTAGCTAATATACATTTATTTTTTATTGATACTGGCCACTTAGTGATATACCATGCATAACAAACAATCTCAAATTATAAAGTCTTCTGTATTATAATCCATATGGCTACACCTTAAACATGCAACTATCAATTGCAACTTCTATGAGAATAATAATAGATTCATTTGCAATTATATACTACTTCATCCTTACTGTGAGCTGTCAAAATTATCATCTTAAATTTGGCAGACCATAATTAGAAAATTCACTATTCCAGCACCTTCAGATAGCAGTCTCTTGGTAATTGTAGTCGACACAAATCCGAACCAGCGCTACATTACAGAGGATCCCAAACTGTTGACAGGATGCCTTGATGCTATGATTGCATTTGCAAACTCACATCTAATGCAAAAATCTAGTAACTTATTAGCAGTTATTGGATGTCACTTTCATAAAAGGTAAATAAATATTTAATAGGTATAAAGACAGGTAAATAATAAAATGTAATAGTTTGTAAAGCTGTTTGGATATTTGTTTCTCAATTATGCTTAAAGTAGCTTTTACTCACAACAAACAAACAAAATCAGGATTGCTGAATGGATTAAATTGAAACTTGATTTAGTAAAAAAGAGTACAGACACATCATATTCCTCAACAACCACACAGAGATTTCTGCCAAAAACTTTATAATTGCATTATAAATAGTAAATCCCCAGGAGAATATTAATTATTCTACTGAATTTATCATAGGGAGTGCTCTGAGGAATTGTTCAGATTGATGCCTACTGCTGATTTTCACCATCATACAACCCACCATAAACTAAAATTTCATCCCAACCATCTGGACGAATGGCGGTCCTCCACCATGCGTTTTTCAAGCCACTTTCTACCATGCACATTCACTCTTTGGAATCAACTTCCAGCAGCAGTATTTCTGAACCGATACGACAACATAATCTTTAAGAAAAGAGCATATTCCTTTTTAAAAGGCCGACAGCACACCTGCAATGTCGTTGGTATTGTGGGTGATCATGGGCGGCCGTTACCACTTACCATCAGGTGACCCGCATGCTGATTTGCCCCCTGTGTTATAAAAATGAATTACTTAATGCTATTTTGTCTTTAATAATAGTTTTATTTATATTATTTTTTTTCAGTGAATTCTTGTATCCGTCTCCAGGCAAACCACTGGATGTAAGACAAATAGATGGCCAGTATGAACTATTTACTTTAGTGGAAAAAACAATAAAAATGAGGTATGTGCTTATGTCTTATCTCATTCTTAAACATATTCATTACCAGACTCTTCATCTGAGGAATTTTAGAAAAATAACATATTTCCTGGGATCTGCTATTTGACTTAGTGCTCTTATTATGTAATTACCTTAACTATGATATTTTTATTAAAAAAGAAATATTCATACATTTTTTGCATCATAGTAATATTATAAACTTTGCTTATGTGACTTGAGAAGTAGTTAATTTAACTACTTCTCAAGTCACATAAGCAATAGTTAATCCTGAATATCAGGTTTTTCATCTGTTTGTGATTATATAGTTTTGCTATTTATTTCTCATTTAAGAGTTTTTTCTTGTCAGGGCAACTAATTCATGCAGAATGCATAGTTTTACTATTTGTTACATAATCAAACAAAAATGACTGAACTGTATTTGATAGATAGATTACTTCCTCCAAAATATTACAATAGTAAATTTATTATAAATATAAACCTAATAAAAGTAATAATATAATATTTGATACCATATAATAAATTTTTATTCTAAATAATACTAGCAAAGCTGCTAAATACACCTAATTTTGTAATATTAGATAGAATATTACATTATTATAAACAAAAAAAGAACAGAATCATAGACAAAAATAACTTTTTTACAGATTAGTAAATTTAATAAAAAGTCAACCACAAGATGACAAGCCTGGGGAGTCCTTACTTGCAGGGGCTTTAGCTATGGGTCTTTGTTTTATATCAAGAGTGAGTACATACATTATTTCATAAAAATTGATAATTTATTTACATTAAATATTATTTACTTTTTCTGCAAATGTTTTTGTGTTATAATACATTATGTTCTTTATTAATATATTTATGATACTATGTAGTTCCGGCATAGAATGATTCATCCCTTTCTGTCCTATGGATGAAGTAAGAGATGACTAAGGGAACTAAATAGATGAGGAATGACCAGCAGTGTCCTTCTTAAAACATCTCCAAAAGCCTTACTGTGGTTATCAACCTGCCTGCATAGCATGGCAACTATTGGCAAAACTCGCTTTTATGAGGGTGGCCTATATCCAGCAGTGGACAATTAAGGGCTAATATGATAGTGATATTAAATTTTATGTTCTGTTATTCCATCTAAATTTAAGTGTTAGTGGTTGTGAACCCAGATGTACATTAACTAGTTTCTTTCAATACATATTATCCTAGTGTGAGGAATAGATAATTGGTGTTTTAATTAGGTTGATAGATTAGGTTTTAACATTATGTCTTATGAAAAATAATTGCAATGAAAATGCCTTAATTTACTCTAAATAAAGTTCAATCTTGATAATATAATTCTTCCGATTAAAAAAAGAGTAATCAAATTGGTTCAGAATTATTAAAGCTATAAACAAAATTAGACAGTTGAATTTAAAACCACTTTATGAAGCCTTTTGAAATATTAGATAATTTCTACATTGCTTTAAAAAAAAAAAAAACTAAAGACAAAAAATCATAAAGGTTAGTAAGCAAATAAAGTACATTTTGTCATATTGACTCCCTAATCGTATTGTCTCGTCTGTCGATTAGATGCGCCGGGAAGCAGCGCCAGGCATACGAATGAGCAGCCGAATCCTCATAGTGACCGGCAGCTCTGACACCGCAGCACAATACATCAACTATATGAATGTGTTCTTCACTGCACAGGTATGTATTTTAATTTTTTATATGAATTTCCAAAATAGGCAGTTTAGAAAATTAGCGTAAATATCCATCTGCCAACCATAAATTAGTAAAAAATAACCAAAAAAAATATTAACCATTTTCCTCAAATTCGCTAATGTGGGACTCGTTATTTCCCATATACATTGGAATTGCAGAATTCCTTGTCGCTTTTAACAATACATATATCCACATATATATAAGGAAACCTGGTGAACATTTTCATATTTCTATAACAAATAGCTTCAGCTATGCATTTATAAAACTATCTTTTTCAATTTCAGAAGCAGCAAGTACTGATAGACGTATGCTCGCTGGACAAACATCTTAGTCTACTGCAGCAAGGCTGCGACATAACAGGTGGTCTTTACCTGAAAGTACCGTCTCTGGAAGGCCTTTTGCAATACTTATTGGTGAGCATAAAATTTATTTAACATGCAATTAGTATATGAATGTTTTTGACGTCAAGTAAGTGTATATTTTGATTTGGAAACTGGAATATGATAGTCAATTCACGAAAACATACCTTCAGGACTAATCCTGAAGAATAATAATGCATTGGGCGAATCATGACAGTATTCTGTAAAGCCCATTATACTTTGTCCTTCTCTATAACCGAAGATATTACCTTTAGATTTTTGCGCTGCATGTTTTCTGTCTTATATGAGACAAGAATTAACGCGACCATTTAGGTAAATTATGATAATGAAATATTTCATTCTTATCATAATAAAATATGATAGCAAAAAAACCTGGTCAAAACATCGAGATAATTCAGTTAAATTATCATAGTTTATCAAGCTTATGTTTAATAGATTTTTTACACTTATGTTTTATAGAGACGGGTATTGTCTTTATAAAACATAAGCGTAAATGTCACTTTCCATGAAATAAGTCGCGTTAGGTTATTTGCCATTGAAAATTGCATAGAAAAAATATTCGCGCTTGGTTTCCGAAATAAGCAGAAAAAAGGAGAGAATATGGACATTCATAGACAAAGTGGATAAGTGGCATCCATAAATTTCTGTGGTTATTCATATCTATACATATTTCTACTATTCTTTTTTACATGTTACAATGACAAACAAGCTTACGGCCCACCTAATGGAAAGTAGTAATAGACATGAACATAACAGAGTATACACCCATAATACCTCTCATGCTTTGCCATTCTTGAAAACTAAGACATTATGTCTCTGTATTCTACAACTACATCGCCAATAGAAATGTAGATGCGTCGTTACGTGTATATAACCTATCCCACTAGATGTTCTTACCAAAGGCTTCTGAGCGCGGACAACTTAACTGTGAGCATACATAGACGAATATGAAAGTCGATGAGTGACATTCGTAAATTTATATCATTATTTGTCGCCATAAATATTTCGAATATAGATGTGTTAATACGTGTATGTATATTGCCAATCCTAGTGGGTGTTCCTCCCGGACGCATCAGAACGCGGACAACTAGTGCTGCCGGGGCGCGGCCGCGTGGACTATCGCGCCGCCTGCTTCTGTCACCGCGAACTGCTCACCATCGGTTACGTGTGTTCCGTCTGTCTCAGCGGTTAGTACTCATTTCCTCGTTACGTTCATTGAAAACACGGGTTTCTCTATAAGAGGATGGTTTCTGCTCACCGTACTAGCGTAGCTTAAAAATCGGCATAAATATCTTAGAATAAGTATATTGTTTTCGTTTTTCATTTTATTATTTATCTATTATGACTTGACCAGATACATTTTTAATTATTCCTCTCCATCCTAAGGTCGCCTGAAAGAGATCGCTATATAGTGATAAGACCGCCCATTGTTGTCTCTTTATCTTGCTTTTATGTAATTAATTATTAATTTTGTTTTTGTACAAATTATTAATCTTTATAATCTGTATCATTCTTTGAAGGGAACAAACAATAAAGAGTTTTCATTCTAATGTTATAAACCACGTATTTCCTATTATTAATAATATAATAGGAAATACGTATAAATATAATAATTGATAGCGTTTATAGCTAAATCTATATTATTTGAACTATACTGACTATATTTTAATTATACGCGGTTATAGAAACATCTATATTATTTAGCAATTAGAAAAATAGATTTCCAATATTTGTGAATTATAAAACTCTATTTAATTTTTTTTTTATTGTAGCATCTATAAACATTTGAGTTTATTTTACTAAGTTACTTGTGTTTAATTGAAAAATACTTTCTTTTTTCAGTATTCTGCAAGTTCAGTCCAATATGCACAACTTGCCAGTGAGTATTATATCATGCAGTAAATGAAAATTATTTTAGATACCAACAAACAAAAGTCAATCCATTATAACTTAATAATCCATTACCCCGTTTTAACTCTGAAGAGCAAAAGATAACCTAGCTTGTTTCTATGGTCAAAACAATAATAACAGACTTACTTATTTTCCAATTTGTAATATTTGTAAGAACTTACACACATCCAACAATATCACTTCTCTATACATACAGAGTGTAAGGGGCAGGTTAGCAAAAACTGAAACACTGAATTCAGACTGAAAAGCAGTGGAAATTCTTTCTCAAAAATTTCATACTTTAGTATGAAATTTCCAAAAAAAATAAAACGGGTAAACCCCTGTTTTTTTTTATTTTTGTTTAAAATCATGTAAAGTATGATATTATATCATAATATAAAGAAATAATAATATTTTATAGTGAAATACTATAAAATATCAAAAAATAGAATGTAATTTTTGTATTAAAAAATCCTACCGCGCGATGTCAGCTGTGTAATTTACAAGCGTACGAAACTATCTACGAAGAAGTGCCATTGACCGAGCGGTGTAAATATCGCGCGGATTGGGTAGATCGTAAAACTTTAAATACATTACACAGCGTCAAAAGTAAGAATCGTTAATGGCTGTGGTGCATTTCAAGTGGGAAAATAACCATCTGATTCAGACCATTCATTTAAATCAGCTGGTTACCTTTTTGCCGACCTGTCCCTTCCACTCTGTATATGAATTGTATCAATTATGAACAAATTTCAAAGAGACGTGAAGGAGATAATATAAAAATATTTTCTTTACATTTCAGCACGGTGTTCAAAACTGGTGGCCCACTTCCAATCAAACCGAAAAAGAAGAAAATGAAGGTGTAAATATATGAGACTGGTGTGTACATAAAATATTATTATTATAAGTTTTAAATAATTTTGGTGTATTTATTCTCATACCTACCAATGTTATATAGGGGGAAAAGGAATTATTAATAATGGGGTCTAATAGCCCCATTGCCAGTAATATACCCTATCAGGTCGACCTCCACGTGGTTCTCCCTGGAAACCGTCGTGGATAATTCTTGTGATATTCGTCACAATAGGCTAACTGACCTGTTTTTATTCTCACCTATTATCCTTCACTGGTGCCCCGCTAGCATATATCCATAGCGCAGGCGGGTATACCATTCCATTATTCATAAAAAACCAATGTTATATATGTATATACTATAGGGTTTTTCACAGAAAACGAGAGAAGTTTCATGGTCGCTAAAGTGCATACGTGACTTCCTTTGGTAACACAGGCATTGATATGCTAACCTTGAACATAAGGCGGGTCGTAAGCTCGATTGTTTGTTATGCTTTATATTCGCCAGTTCCAAACAATTTTGATAATTATTCTTTATTTTTTATAGAAATGTTATCAAAGCCGCAGGTGTTGACTACCCCTAACCTAAAATAAAAGATAAAATCTTAATAATATGCAACATTATTTTAGATTTTCCGTTAAGGATACCGAATGATATGTGTATATAATAATTCGAAATTAATCTAGAAGAAATAAAAACGATATGTTACAATAATCAATTTATTAATATGTATTATTGAAACATAAAAGCTACCGCATTCGGCAAATATCTTTTATCAGATAAGCTAAAATTATTATTAACTCATATACGTCCCGAATTAACCCAGAATAGTCTTTATGTCTATGTAAATAAGAGACGATTACAAACGGCCATTGTTAAATTTTAAGTAATTAATGTGACTATGAAAAATTATATCTAAGATATAGCTTCTGTTTTTATAGATTTTAAGAATAGATATGTCAGTTAAATAAAAATGTTACGAGTTCATATTCATTATCTTGCTCATAGGTTATTTTTAAATCGAATTCAAAAACAGAATTCTCATTTTGACTAAACTACCTAAAAATAGATGTTTGTGTATATATTACGCGATGTCTTCTCTAATTTTGTAGTAAATTTAATGATTTTTAAATAAAAAATATCCCATATCAGTTTTTCACATTTATTTTATCGAGGTTAATCTTGGTTTTTTGTGTAACAAAATCTTATTTTATTTCTAATTTAAGTACATTTTTTTTTCTCATATATCAAAATGATGTTCCTCCATTTTGTTCACATGAAAATTTTATCTAAAATTTACAAACAATTTAATTATACACTTTATATATTTTATATATATAAATGTAAATAAAACAACAATAAAAACAAAAATTAATAGATTTAAAACGGCATTTTTTGATATATTTTATTGGCAGGCAAGTATCTACCTTAACCTATATAGAAAATAATTAACATCCTACTTATGAGGATTGATTTCTTCCATAAAAGTATTGGCCTGCTGTTGCCAAGCAGGCCATGTGCTTGAAGCACTCTTCCATGTCACAAATACGTTTGATATACATAGTTTGCTTAAATTTAACTATATTTTCTTATATAGATATTATAATAAGGTAAAGTTTGTGAGTTTAGATGCTCGGAGTAATCTCCGATACTACTGATCCAATTCTTTCACTGATAGAAAGGTATATTATCCCTCAGTGCTGTAGATTACTTTTTATTTTATAAATATATATTTTCATTAATTAATCACAATAAATATAATTGCAGTCGGCAAAAATTCTATAATATGGTGTTAGCTGCCTGAACAGTTAAAAGAAAAATATGAATTACTTTTAGCTTAATAGTCCGCGACACCATCCATCTTAACCAAAAAGATGGATTTTATGTTAAAAGTAAAATAAATTTTACAAGATTAAGTTTGGATACAGGTTTCATGTATACTTTATAAATTCTTATAAAAACTAATAGCTAGATTTAGCTATTAGTTTTGATTAAATTGGAAATTTCTTTGAGATAAAGTTTTCTTTTTATTTATTCGCTTATTTATTGATGCACTTGGTCAGAACATAATACGAAATAAAATTATTTCGTTATCGCTGCCGCTGGCCATGCGAGAACAATAGACGAGACGTGGAGGTGAGGGGCGCAGGGAAAAACTATTACATATATATAAACGTGTGCACGTCAAATTACTAAATACGCCGTTCATTTTAAAATTTTAGAGACCATTAATGCAGAACTTTCACAACCGCGAAAATACCAGCCTTACTAAAATATGTTGAACAGTTTATAAGTTACATAAACAAATATTGCACCCGTGCAAAGCCGAGGCGGGTCGCTACTACTTGGAATAAAAATGAGTGGTAACATATGAACGACGATCGCCGCATCCCATCAAGTAGACAGTCTGCTGTTAGAGCTCCCTAACAATAAAAAAAAATCCTTCTGAATTCGCCACATATATAATTTTTATTATTCCTTTATTATTAAGCCACTTGGAAAAGGTGTTTCTTATTTCGACTGAATTTTTTTTAAGTTATATGATATCTTCATCAACTCTGTACCTATTTTAATAATAATTGTTTACTGGGAGTTTAATGGCCTAGTAATTTTGTCACAACAGTAAAAGCTGTTTTTTTTTTTTTAATATTGAACTAAGTATTGTAATATTATATTTCCGCTATACTTTTATATATGTTCTTAAGTAGACAGTGTATAATAACAAACCATAAATTAAACAATCAGTCTTTTATTTCATAAAAAAAAAAAACAAACAATTTTTATACACTCATAAATCTCAAAATATGCTTTATAAGCGAGGATACACTTATACTATTTCTACAGTTTTTTGTTTATATAACTATATGTATTTATAGACATAATATACATTTAAATATAATTTAAAAATATGTAACTGAATCTAATATAGGCAAAGGTTTTTTTACAAGTCTTTGGACTTAAAAACAATAAAAAATCCATCTAATACTAAAATCATTATTCATATCATAATGAATATGAAACATAAATGAAGCTATAGATAAAAGTAATCGTCGATAGTGAGCGATAACGTACCGGCTATCGTTACAAAATAATGCTATAGAATAATCGTATATTGGTCGGTTTTTACTATAATGTAACCCAGATAGTATACTACATCAAGGTCAACTCTCAATTCATACAAGGTGAAAACGAAATTATTACGATTTTTTTTTATACAACTTAGAATGGTAAACAAGCTGATGGTCCACCTGATGGAAAGTGGTAACCGTCGCTTATAGACATGAGCAGTACCATGGACATAACAGAGTATACTGTTACGCCCATGATACCCCCCATGCGTTGCCATTCCTGAGGGCTCAGGTGTTATTCCTCTGTGCCCAGTAAATTCACGCCACATCCCACCCTTCAAACCGAAACACAGCCATGCAAACACAACTATTTCACGGTTGAAACACGAATGGATGAACGTTAAAGGGAACGTTTTACTAGAGAATTTAATATTTTTCTCAAAGAAACATGGGACGTTAAACAACAAAAAATTTGATCTTCCCATACTAACACAAGTAACGCGATCATTTAAGTAAACTATGTTATTTACCTGAATTATTTCGATATTTCGGCCGGTGTGGCCGACGTCACGAGGAGACTGATATAATGATGTTCCTAGGCAGAAGTTTTTTTCTTTAACTCATTGCATACAACACTGACCATGTCGTTATTTGTCGAATAAAGACACAGTCAGTATTGTTTGGTCAAATATATTAACAATGATAATTCATAGTTTACCTAAATAATCACGTTAATTCCCATATCTTATAAAACATGCAATTGCGGAAGTCTAAAAATTAAAAACTTTCAGTTAGTTGTTACACGAGTATCACGGCGCGTACCTACAGCTGTTGAAGATTCAAACTTTTTGTCGTTTTTAAATTGTTGATTCATGAAATTTCTTTCCTAGTACATTTTATTTTTTATTTTAGCATGGATATATTCTTAGTTTTACATACCGCTATTGATATCAACCCTGTATTTGTGTATATCTTTATTGCACTTGTAAAAAATATATTGTGCGAAATAGTTATAGATCTTGTTAGCAAAAGTGGGCTTATCTCTAAAAGAGATCTCTAACCAACCCAACGCATGAACTTGTTAATATTTAATATTTTTTATAGCTGCAATATAATTAAATCTAATTTCATGCGAAACTCCTTGAAAGGTAGAAAAAAAAAAGCAATGCCAAATGCCTCTATCCTAATTCACATTTCTTGCATCATTCATTTCCATAACTCATCTTATGAATACATACCAATTCCGAAGACGTTATGAGTTAATTAAATTTAACATTAATTAATTAATCTTACGAATAGTAACTTATTAAAATTAACCAATTTGCATTAATATTACTACATTCTAAACGTTGTGGCACACTGAGAGTGATATATATAATTTTGGATGTTTTTATTTTAGAAGACCTGAATTATTAAGAAAATATCTTATTACTTACTAGCTATTGCACACAACTCCGTACGCGTGAAATATGAAAGTAGATCAACACGTCTAGATAGCGTATCAAAACAAAAAATATATTAAATTTTAATTTAGACCTTCACAAACACAACTGTAAAAATTACATTCATTTTGGTGCAATAGTTTTTGCATGATGCCGAAACAAACATACAGATAGATAGAAATAAAAAAAAAGTTGTTTTGACGTTTATTTTTTTATGCAACTTAGAATGACAAACAAGCTGACGGTAAACACATAGACGGTAGACGACAAACATATGATAGAAAGTGGTAACCGTCGCCTATAGATATGAGCAGTATCATGGACGTAACAGAGTATACTGTTTCGCTCATGATACCCCCCATGCGTCGCCATTCCTGAGGACTCAGGTGTTATTCTTCTGTAACCTGTAAATTCACTGCCATATCTCACCCTTCAAACCAAGCACAACTGCTTCACGGTAGAAACACGAATGGAACAGAGGTGCCCAATCAAACGATTTTTGTACAAAGACTCCGTTTATTAAAATTGTTTTATTGTTCTTATTAAGACCTCTCCTTATACTTATGATTTTTTCTTAAATATCTTATATAATACAGATATTGTCCAATTACAATTTTATTATATTATTAAGATTATTTGAGATTAGGGGATCTACGGATGGATTGTAATCAAGCGTTAAGCTAATTAATAATCATATAAATATCCAATCCACAAATATAATTTAACATTATCATCATGAACAATGATACGTCGTACTCGTGATCGGGTATCTCTTGTCCTTTATTACTGCGTATATCTGATCGATGCGATCTTTTATGATATATTATCTATGCTAATAATTTTACACAAATTCAATCGAAAACCCGCATAGTAATACCCTTTACGAATCGCATTTTCAATAATTATATTTTTGCATTCACAGTGAGATACCTAATTTTTAAAACACAAATATAAATAAAGTTATAAGTATGTTATTCTTTATCTAAGAATTTAGCATTGAATAAATTTAATTTTTTATTGGATAATTAAGTAACTTTTACTGAGAAAAATCGATTAAAAGACAAACGTCCTTGCCTTAATCCCAAGTGAAATGCGAGCGCCCTATTAAAATGCTCCCGAATCCAAGAGTTATTATTTTTTAAAACGTTACGTATCATTATTAAAATCATTAAAAAATTGCGCGAATTAATTCAGTTCACAAACTTCCGCAGTTTTTTTTTTTATCTTTTTGTAACATGTTAACAATTTTTCTTGCCACCCTTCCATCCTTGAATAAAATCGTCATAGATAAATAATAGCTACGTCCTTATGCCAATATATTTACATATATACAAGATGAGGGATATAGCTGGAAAGTGTGAAAAGCAATACATTATTAATATGCTGATTTCTGTTGATTTAAGTTCATAAACATAGTGTTTTATGTGTATAATAGCTTATTTGTTTGTTTTTGATATTCCGAGAAAAATTTAATTTAGTTAAATAATAAATATTCTACAATATAAGAATTTTTATTATCATATATAAATATATTTTAATTCCTTACGTACTAGCGCATAAAAAAAGGTATATATTCATATATAGTTTTTCTATAAGTTTTATGTTTATCCAGACGATGTTTGTGAGCGCATGACGTAAAAACTACTATACCAAATTAGATGTAATTTTTAAAGTTTTGTTCTTGAAGGTCTAACTTAAAATCTAACGTATATTTTATACTCGTACGCTATCTAAAAGTGGTCTACTTAATTGTTATCCCTACTTCTGAATTCACGTGTACAATATCATGAAAAAGCTAGTTAAAGATTAATTCAAAAACAATAATAAAAAATAGTTTCTAGAAGTCAAAATTTTAAATTATAAGATAATGAAAATTACTTTTAATAGAATAACAGCTAAAAACATTAATAAATTTAGTTTGAAATTCGAAAAATCGAACGCTTAGTGTGGTTTAAATGTTGTGCAGAAATTACAGTGGAATCCTGTTGTAATTGTGAATTTACCGCAAATTTCCAACTGGAAAGAAAATACCGCGGGTTTGCATACCTTATACAAGAATAGATAATCATGAATAAGTACATAATTACAATATATAAATAATAATCACTTATGATTTAAAAAGATACATCCTTATTAATGAGACTTGTCTGAGAAACTCACCAATAAATCAGTTTGTTGCTACAATACGGTGCTATGATTTACCTATTACATCAAATGCATTATCAATTTCTTGAAGAAATATGTCCGTACTGGTCCTTTGATTCTTTTCTTCGCTACCACGTTCCAAAGTTCTTTGTCTTACACTCAAGGACCTATTAGAATCTTGTGAAGTTTTGCTATCTGAACTTTTTTTCCTTTGATGCGTTTTTACCTCGAAAATAGGTGGGTTGTTCACATGATATTCCATTGATTTCGGCTTATCTGCCTGCTGATAATTCTGAAAGTAAGAATGTTGCTTTATTCATTCATTCATAACAACCCCTAACCATTCCACTGCTCCTATACACAGATTTCCAAACTACTACTCCCGTATTGGATTTTTTTTTGATGGGTGAAAATGGTATGGTAACCCCGCCTGCGCTAACGGGATACGCTGGCGGAGCACCATTGAAGGGTGATAGATGAGAATGAAAACAGGCCAGTTAGCCCATCATGATGAATTCATCAGGAATTAACCATGATAGTTTCCAGGGAGAACCGCGAGGAGGTCGACCTGTTTGGGTATATTGCTAGCAATGGGATTCTCAGTCTCCATTACTAACAATCCCTTTCCCCCCTCCCGTATTGGGTTTGTAACAAATAGCAATAATCCTTTGAACATAATCCTACCGCCTCTAAAATTATACTATAATCGAGTAAAATTATTATTTAGGTACTTTGTACACTATCCTACACTGTACACTATATATAATGCAATAGTAACCCCGCCTGCGCTTACGGTATACGCTGAGAGGGCACCAGAGAAAGATGAAGATGAAAAGACATGTCAATTAGTGACGAATACTCTAGAATTAATCACGATGGATTCCAGGGGAAACCGCGAAGAAGTCGACCGTATAAGGCATATTGCTAGTAACGGGATTGCTAATCCCTATTAATAACAATCCCTTCTCCTCCCAGCTGTTTAAGATTTCTTACATAAATTGTTAAAGAGACCTTTACAGCTTTTATTCGCGACTTCAACCACGTGACCGGCATATATTTAAAAATTGAATGAGAACCTAAGTGGGGTAACAGTGTCCCATAATTTTAATTTTTGTCCCCTAACCTTACCAAAATAATGAATTGGAGCTATCAATTATTATGTATTCTTTTTTATTTCGTTACCGCACAGATTTGTCATTTTGCAGACATTGTTTTTATATTAAGTAGGTATACTCTTCACACACATTCTAATCTGACTTTATTATTTCTGTAGATTAGATAAGGAAAAACAGTTAAACAATGATATAAAATTACAGTTGACAAACTCTAAAAGAGCATAAAAGAGAAGCTGACAGTCAGAGGACTCCGTGAGTACCTTTTGTCACCAAAAAATACATATAAATAAATATAAACTTCCCATTAGTAATAACAAGTAAAATTATGTAAATGAAAAATGCTTCTCATTTATCTATATAGTTTTTAAAATTTTTAAAATAAATTTCAATTACAAATAATGACATATATTTTAAACAATAACATATAATGGATATAAATTCAATTCATTCATTTCATACGGAACAAGTACTGGCGTAAGTTTCAGATATACCTAATCATTTGGTAATTAATTAGATTAAATAGTATATAATCAATAATAAAAGTAGTTTTACTATTTTAGCACTTGCAATGACGTAATAAGTTTCATGATTATTCTTTTATCTTTAGGTATGATGTCCAATCACTTGGTCCGTAACATATATAATTAAAATACATGAAAACATATAAACTTTGTGTTTATATGCCGTCAGCGATTATTTTTAGGTTCCATAACCAAATATACAGTATTATATATGCTTAATACCTTTTTACCCGCTATTTCGTACATGCAGGTTTCAAAAGTAGGAAAACCAACGTAATAGTCCTTTTTTAGATAGCGTATCAAAATAAAACGTATACCAGTTTTTAAGTTAGATCTTCAGCAATACAACAGTAAAAGCATTTAATTTGATAGAGTACTTTCTGTGCAATGCCAGAACCAAACATTCGGACAGACAAAATTACTGTTTTGGCTTCTGTTGCTCCTATTAAAATACCTTCCATCAATTTTTTTTTTTATATATATTCCATATACAGATATAGTCCAATTACAATTTTATTATATTATTAAGATGATGACGTCATACCTCTCCATAAAGCTCCAATGACAAAGAGTGTCTTTTCTTGTTAGATTGCTTCAACCTTCCAGACCTCGACATAGAGTATTTCCTCTTCATGTCCTGGGGTGGTATATCCTCTGAAGGCGCATCATGTAAGTCGCTTTTTTTATCGTTGTTTGAAAATAGAGATTTCAAAAACCTTGCCATCTTAAAAAATTGCACGCAGTAAAAAAATATTGCTACTTTTACATGTTAATTCTGGAAACAAATTATTTTTAATTAACCTTCTTAGTCATTAAACTATATATATATATATATATCCCTGTTCACCGCACCATAACCGTAAAATTACTTGCTTTGACTTCCACGAGACAAGCTTTGCCTAGTGTGGTGTCATAGCTATATTGTACCATAGGCTAATTTTGTTAAAAGTAATAAAGATATTCTTCTAGGTATTCTCTTTATATATATTACAACTATGCTAGTCGAACACTCTCGTTCTCTCACTTCATATTGTTCTTACTGAATTCTAAATAATTGAATTTATAGTTCTAACTTGATGTGGTTATAGAGTAAGATAACAACAGATGCATGTAACCACTGCTCTTCTTCCCTAGGATGTCGCAAGAGGCAACTGGGGAAACGAACACAGTATACTACACTAGTATAACTCAAAAGAAAACGTTATTTATGCAAAATACATGTCTATGTATAAAATTTGTAGAAAACTACCAAATAAATACAGACAAATGCGACGGATATACCAGCAGACTGAATAGGCTGGGGCTTAGGGCATCAAATGCAGGGGCAGCAAAGGTGGGACCAAATTTTTTTTATAATCCTAAAGTAACAAATTTATTGACAAAAAAAATTGTAATTAATACGATTGTAAACTAGGGTAACGAAATATAGAGGTCGGTAAGAGCAGCAAAATTTAAACAGCCTACTGGCAAATATGTAAATTGTAATCACTCGTATTTCCTGATCTTTGAAAACATACCCGACTTTTTCGAAAGAGTTATAGAATTTAACGCTTTGACTCTCGGTATATATGGCCTGAAATTCTGGTTATATGAGAAGAGAAGTTCTAATTTGTCTAAAATGGAAATAGATATATTTTAAAAGGTGGGAGTTAAACCGAAAGCACTTCTTTTTACAATAAAAAGACATGCCTATAGTAGTAGGTATAGCCCAATCGAATACAGTCTGAAATATGCCTACTCTACTTTTTTATCTTGTGCCTTAGACGTAAAGTGTAAAGAACTCGACAGATCTAGAAAAATGACACGATTTCTTAATCCCACACAATTTGCATTTTTTTACTAACACAATGTTACTTTAATTTGAAAATCACCACCAGTTTACAACAAAACTGTGTACGCTTTGAGTCACGAACTTTTGTTGGACAATATGATGCTGGTAACGATAGTGGAAGTACGATATCTAACGACAATGACTCCCTAGATTCATTACCACGGCTATTGCAAAATCAAAAGCCTGCTCATGCGATACACAATCTGCGACGTATTATTAAAACAAAGAAATTATGTCCTCCACGTACAGTATAAGTTTTTTAAAACACCAATTCACAAACAAAAAAATCATAGGCATTCAGGCAAACTAACCCCGACAGAAACACAATCGGCTAGAATTCAGGGCTCCAGAGAGAAAAACCAGAATACTCCATTAATAATAATAATAATGTGATCAGTATTATTCTAAGCAGTCACTCTCCGCTGTACATAGGCCTCTTCCATATGAAGAGGTTTTGCCAATAGTTACCTCGCTATGCAGGCAGATTAGCAACCACAGTTAGGCTTTGGTGATATTTTAAAAGGAACGCTGCTATCCATCCCTCGACCATTAAATGCCCTTAGTTGCCTCCTACGACACTCACGGAAAAGGAAGGGGTGATCCATTCTATGTCGAAACCACATGGCATAACTTTATCTTAGGGAGAGGTATTTGAGTTAAGTACCTACAATGACATAGTTCTACTTATTTGATGTTACTTAGATTAAATAAGAATATATACTAACATACCTATCGGATACACATTAATATTTGATATTGTTGAAACACATCAAACGAAATGGATACATTATTTAATGGGATGAAAATGGAAAAGTAATTCCGCCCACGCTATTGGCATACGTTAGCACGGTACCAATGTGTGGTATTAGAAGAGGATGAAGTTAGGTCAGTTAACTTATTATTGAACTTAATACTTATTATTTAACTTAAAATTAACTTATCTATGAATTCACTAGAAGATAATCACGATGATTTTTGAAGGGGACATCGTAGAGGTCGACCTGACAGAGTACATTATTAACAATGACGATTAACGTTCTCATCACTAACAAAGCGATCATTAAGTCGACATTAATAATAGTATTTTAACTAGGTAAACAAAATTTTCAAACTATCTTAAAGGTCAACTCAATACTCACTACCATACTTGAATAGATAAAAAGAAAACACTAATTTTATCCACATCCTCATCAAGCAATCCACTTGAAAACTAATTAAAAGAACTAATAAAGCACTGCTTACCAAAGAAACAACTGAATTGCTTCCAAATTGATAACGTTGTTTAAAAATGCAGTGTTTTTGCTCAATGATAAGACGGTCGCAATATGCCACGACTAAACACAGACTGCATTGTGTATGAAGTCTTAATATTTACCATAATTTCATCTTGTTTGATAAGATAACCAACCGATATTATTATTATCATCGATACCTTTTATGATAATGAATTAGTGTTATCAACTTAATGATTGTTAATTTTAGTTTTGCTATATTATATGGGTACTTATTATTTTAGTTTCACGTACCTTTTTTTATGCAACTTAGAATGGTAAACAAGCTGACGGCCCACTTAATAGAAAATGGTAACCGTTGCCTATAGACATGAGCAGTACCATAAACATAACAGAGTATACTGTTTCGCCCATGATACCCCCCATACATTGCCATTCCTGAGGACTCAGGTGTTTTCTCTGTACTCTGTAAATTCACTGCCATATCCTATCCTGCTAACCAAAACACAGCTATGCTAAACACAACTGCTTCACGGTAGAAACACGAATGGGGCTGAGGTGCCCAAGCAAACAACTTTCGTACAAAGTCTCCCTCTCTCCCTTTAGAGTTCCATGTATAAAAAAATGTTAAAAACCCGAAAAACATTACATCTTTATCTATTTTCCTTACCTACCTACCAATTCAGGATCGTTGGAGGAAATGGATTATTACTAATAAGATTTAACAGTCCCATTGCTATCAATATACCCAATTTTTTTTATGGGTGATAATGGAATGGTAACCCTGCCTGCGCTATCGGGATACGCTGGCGGGGCACCAGTGAAGAATGATAGGTGAGGATGAAGCCAGTCAGTTGACCCATCGTGACGAATTTAAATTTCAAATAGCAATGGAACTATCAAACTCCATTGCTAACAATCCCTTTCCCCCCTAATATACACTATTTTTTTTTTATAGGTGAAAATGGTTTATTAGCAATGGAGTTTGACAGCCCCATTGCTAGCAATATGCCCTATTAGGTCGACCTCCACGTGGTTCCCCTGGAAACCATCGTGAACAATACTTGTTGAATTCATCATGATGAATTCATCAGGAATTAAACATGATCATTCTTCAGAGAGAACCGCGAGAAACCGATAGCGCGGTTGGGTATATTCCATTATCATCCATTTGGATATTCTCAGTCTCCATTACCAACAATCCCTTTCCCCCCCATTACGTCCATTTCTACAAGGCTCCTCTTAGAAACATTATGGAATTGGTTATAATGCGCTAACTGACCTGCTTGGGGGGAAAGGGATTGTTAGTTGTGAGACTAAGAATCCCATTGTTAGCAATATACCCAGCCAGGTCGACCTCCTCGCGATCCCCCTGGAAACTATCATGGTTAATTTTTGATGAATTCATCATGATGGGCTAACTAGTCTGTTTTCATTCTCATCTATCACCCTTCACTGGTGCTCCGCCAGCGTATCCCGTAAGAGCAGGCGGGGTTCCCAGACCATTTACATCCATAAAAAAAAAACTGAGCTGCTTAAGGGATTGTTAGTAACGCAGACTATCAGTATCATTGCTAGCAATAGCTTATATATATATATATATATATATATATATATATATATATATATCAGGTCGACCTTCACGTAGCCCCCCTGGAAACTATCGTACTGAATACACTTGGAGCATTCACTACGATAGGCTATCTGATCTGCCCTTTCATCCTCATTTATCACCCCTCACTGGTTCTCCGCCAGCGTATACCGTTAGTGCAGGCGGGGTTACCATTCCATTATCATCCATTGAAAAAAAAAACTGACCTGCTTTCATCCGCACCTATCATCTCTCACTAGTGCCCCGCCATCATATTATGATACTGTTAGCGCAGGCGGAGTTATTATTCTATTCTTACCATACACATTAAACAATTCAGTATCGTAGCTCTCAGAGTGTAAAGAACATCCTTTGAAAAAAAATATATTTAAAAAAATTTTTGCTGTACTTGTCTTTTTTATCGGTAGGCAGGCATCCAAGCTGACGCTCCACCTGAAGGGAATTACGATTACCTTCACCCATAAATGATTGTAATACAAAGAAGACTGCTAGTGCGGTACCGGTCTTTTAAAATTCTGTAGACTCGATTTTTTAAATTCCATATTGTATCGGAAGAGGAAAGAGCCTGTGTTATTTTAATATATTTTACTCCAAAAATCAGAAGTTATTTCGTTGAGGATGGAAAAGAACCGAAATACTTGTTATTATATCAGCAAATGAACAACTTAAGAGAACCTACAAGTTCTATTATTTCTTCGATATCATTGTGCGGCCAATTTTGTATTTAGGGTTGTATTGAAAGTAGCTTTGATAATATGTAAGTAAAACGCGTATCTACAATTTTATATGAAAACCTATTTTTATCCAAGTAATAGTATTCTGTGATTACTTAGCTTGTTTTTGTTAGATAACTACGGTCGATTTGTAAGAATCTATTGATATTTATGTAATTTATCATAGTAATAGACTGATAAAGAACCGATTCAGGCCTTTAGTACTTAGTCAATTTACTCGGTTATATCTGCCTACCTCTTATGAGAGCTGTCATGATCGGTGCGCTGTGTTGTAGTTTTTTGGAACTTAAAATGGCAACAAAGCCAAGAGCTGACCTGATAAAAAGTGGTAACCGTCACCTATAGTCACCACGTCACCACTATCACAGAATATACCTACTGTGACGCCTATGATACCCTTCATGCGTTGCCATTCCAGAGAATTATGTGCCTCTGTCCTCTGTAAATTCATTGTTTTACTAACCATTTAAACCCAAACTCTGTACGGTAGACAAGTAGGTATACTTTTTATTTATTATAGTTTAGATTCATACCTTTTCTACTACAATTTGATACTGCCATGTTTAATACTACTAGTTTTTTTGGTACAAGATTGTATAATGCAATGTTTTATACGATAAAGTTTGCTCGTAGTAATTTCTAAAAATCGCTTACCTACTAATAATAAAAAAAATGATCGGACCAAAATAGATTTGAAACAATAAATCAAGCTAAATAAAGTCAAGAATGCAAGGGTGGGAACTGAATAAAAAACCAAAGATGAGACTCGATAAAAAATATATTAACTTCAAAGTATGCGATAGACACAAAATACCATAGTTTTGTACAAACGCGTAGCAATGGTCATATGATATCTAGCTAGATTTCAAAAGACTAGCAAAAACTATAAACTCGTCAACACTTGAACATAGTCATTGTACTCTATTAATAATTAGCTACGCAAAAAAATATCAGTATCCAAATAATATTTGGGCATTTTCAATGATTTCACAAAGATGTTTAAAATACCAATTTTACCAAACGAAAATAATTCTGAATGAACTAATAACTACTCTGCGATTAAAATAGATTTCGAAACAGTCAAAATTTGAAACCACTGTGTGAAAAACACATGTCAATATTCTTAACTTTAGACTTACTAGACGTTCATCTCATATAAACCCCACCCACTTGGAATTTTTTTCATTTACACAATAATGTCTCCTAAAAAATTATAGCTGAATAATATAGCATTGTCTAGTCTCAAATATTTATTCATAGCCAAGATTAATTTTATTTCAAAGAATCAAATATCATGTCCACGCTCAAGTGATTTCGAGTATTTACAAAATCGTCATAACTCAACATAATTACAAATTTTACAAATAATACAATATCTTAATATAACAGCTGCTAAATGTGAAGGAATTAAATAAATTTCATTGGCAGATGGCATTAACTTTTATAATACATGTTTTTTTTTAAATATGGAATTTATGTCAGTGTAACATGAGAATTTCTATTTAAATAATATGCTACTTAAATATTTCAACAAAACCCTTGTTTCATAATGGCAAGATATAAGTAAAATATAATTTAAATAGGACTTGTATATAAACAACGCTTTATTACAAATCAATTCATACAGACACAAAAATGTCCCATGATCCACTTGGGCATCAATTCTCTACATCTGTACAAAAATTATCTATTCACAATAAGTAAAATAAATAAATCGCTTTGTTAACTCAAGAACTTATTATGCTTGGTGAATTTTTTTATCCAAATATTGGCCATATATACAAATATTGCAATTTGCATAGTAAATAATATGACATGTAAATCAAACTGAATAAATTTACTTATAATAGCCATATAAAATACATATGTGATAACATATATAAACGCAAAAATTAGTAACTAAAAAACTTAGCTAATGGAATAAAGATTTTAAACATATTTTTATATCAAGTATACATTAATATAGTTTAGTTTTGGAACCAATAGAAGGCTTCATTTTGACATTCACCTATAAACATCATATCTACGATTAGGGTTTGGAAGAAATAACAAAACCAATCTTGTGTCGAAGGAAACTACTCTAATAGCAGACCTAGTTATGAACTATCGCACTTATTGTTCGAACCGATCATACAGAATTTTGAACCTTCATAGCTGGTATATGATTTAAATCCAATTTTAGTATGGCGAACGAATGAATTGTATGATATTGTTTTTATCACATTAATATTGAATACACGAAACTAAAATATTGAATCTCTAAGCCCTATGGGAGAAAACAGTAATATATATATATATATATATATACATACATTACCGCTATTATGTATGTGTGTATATATACATAAACTATTCACACAAAAATATATATTTTGCATTGTCGAAGTATGCACACGTATAAGGTGGTAGGTAATTTTAATCATATTTTTCTTGGATACATACACTTTGCACTGCATGATTTATTTTCTGCATTATTAGTTATGTCTCAATTATTATACCAAGATAATTAAAACAGCGCTTAACTCTTTAGCAGCGCTAATTTGTTTTCTAACTAAAATTTTTAAATTTTATTTTTAATTTAATAACCATATAACATATTATATATATACTACTGTACCTCGGAAGGAACTTGTCGTGAAGATATATCATATTTTTTTTTAATTTAATGTTTAGTTACTAGAATGAAATAAATGGTTTAAAAACCTTTTTTCTACCAAACATTACTGGACTATGATAATAAACATTTCTTTCTATACAGTTTACAATTCAAGGCACAATTTTAACACTCGTCAGAAGAGAAATACAAATAAGACATAACTCTTGTTCTACCATATATAAAATATGCTGTCAACTTGTTTTCCCTGTTGCATTAAAAAAAGTATTATTTATAATCAATAAATATGTTTATTCTAAAGAAATACAGTAGTAAAATAGGAATTGTTAGCATTTTTAAAGAAGTATTCTACCAATAAATTAGAACATTGTTGTCAAAGAAACATTAAAGAAATTTTAAGACTTCCATACTAGCATTGTGCTTATCGCTGCCAAGTTTTACGAATTCTTTCTTTGTTTCCAATGTTCAGTTTTACTGGTAGACCTGATAAAAAAAGTTCTGTAAACAAAGGTTATGATGTATAAACATAATCTCACAGAGTCCATCACACAAAGATATTTTATGTCCCGAGTGGCTATTGAGTTGTCCAAAGTTTTACATCAGGTTAACATAGTTGAGTTTGTATGGATATCTAAATTTCCAAAACAACCTGCTAGAGATGCATCTAGTTTTCAATAGTAAAATCTTAACATAAAATATACTAGCCTTTGTAGGAAAGTCGTCGACATGATACAAACAGTAACTGTTTAAATATTGTGGACCAGATATATTTAAGACATCAACATATTCCCATATATTTTCTTTTGGTATTTCTCTTAGATTAGTTCAGCTGTCTCGTTCTCTATAAATAACTATAAATATCTACATTGTTTATTATCTTTATAAACATTCGTTAGATGTGATTATCGTTGGCCAATTAATATTTAAATATTATTTTAACAAGTAGCTTGTGCAGTTACCTTAAAGTATTTTTCTCATATTTACAATATGTACTCAATTTACACAGACTCGATCTAAAACAGTCTTTGTGAAACATAGTCGAATTAAATCCAAAAATATACAAATAAACAGTGATTGTATCGCGTTACATCAAAACATATCCTTAAAAGATTCCATCAGCGATCATGTATTCTCGAAATTTACCCTCAAATATTTGGCAGTACTTTGATATGTCAAAGTTACAGCAAAATGTTTTATCCAGTTATGAACATTAACCTTTTTTTTAGGATTGCGTATCCAATAACAAAACCTTTATATTAAGATGATTGAATTGATAAAAATTATGTAACAAAATTTTTCTACATTACGAGGTCTGTCCGGAAAGTTCGTATAAAAGTGTTCTGGAATGCGAGAAAGAGGAGTGGGGAGGCCAGGTAAGCGCAGGACCCCTTCCTTATGTCCCTAACAATGCTTCAGTTCTGGTCTGACCGCCGTCCGGTGCGAACTGGCTTGTCACGCCATCTGTGAAGTTACCTCTTAACGAAACCCCGTCGGCATGGAGCCCGCTTCCGTTGAAGAGCAGCGCGTCGTAATCAAGTTTCTCTCGAAACTCGGCAAGAATGGCCGTGAAATTTTTGCCGATCTCAGAACAGTTTATGAGGATGATGCTGTGAAGGAACCAACCGTCCACAAGTGGCTAAAAAGATTCAGAGAGGGCCGAGACAATGTTGATTGTTTTTTTCGATGTTCGGGAGATTGTCCATCAAGAATTCGTCCCTCCAGGCCAGACAGTTGATGGAAAATTCTACGTCGATGTGCTCAGACGCCTCAAAGCTCGTGTGGCACGAGTTCGTCCAGAATTGGCGCGAGAGGGGCGTTGGATTCTTCACCACGACAATGCCCCTGCCCACACCTCTCTTGTTGTCCGTGAGTTTTTGAGTAAAAATTCCATTACGGTGACCGAACACCCCCCCTATTCGCCGGATTTGGCCCCGTGTGACTTCTTCTTGTTCCCAAAAACCAAATTGGTACTTCGGGGGCGGCATTTGGGGGACATAAATGAGATAAAAAAAGCTACGACGGGGCAGCTGAGAAACCTACAACCAGAGGACTTTCAAGGAGCCTTCTCACAGTGGAAACGGCGTTGGCACAAGTGCATTATGTCACAGGGGGAGTACTTTGAAGGGGATAAAATTGATTTACCTGAATAATTGTAAAATAAAATTTTTAAAAAACTTTTATACGTACTTTCCGGACAAACCTCGTATAATAAAAAATCAGGGTAAATATACCTCATGTACCACATACATAACTAATTGTATATTTTTCCTTCCACTAGTAATTTTAAAAATATCATGGAATTTCCTCAACCATAATTTTTAATATTCCGTCACTACTTATATTTTACCAATCAATCAAACAATATTAATTTCCCAAAACGTTTAAAAAAGCGCACTGCAGGACCTCACGCTACATGAAGCAACCACTTCAAATGTTTGCAGGTAATCAGTGAATGCAGTCAGCTGAGGACTGTTCCTTGTGGCATATAATGTCCATAGGAAAAAAGAACTTCGTTTAGCGATGAACGATTAAAGATTAAAATGATAAGAACGGTCATATTTAAACATAATCTTATATTTGTATCCAACTACAAATTTGGATAAAATATTATAAAGGATTCCTGAGGATATTGTATGACAATATTCTTACTGTCATGGATCTTGTGAGCTAAAGGTATTTTACATATTGGTTTAATACACAATAACTTTATACATCCGTTTAAAACATCGAGACGCAGCAAATGAAGTGTCTGAGAATTTATATCTTCAGTTGTTGTAAGGTTATAAAAATACAAAGTGAAAGGACAGGAGAAAAAAAGCTGATTCAAATGAATGGTCTGAATCAGATGGCAGATTATTTTCCCACCGGAAATGCACCACAGACTTATAATTCTTAATTTAAATGCCGCGCAATGTATTTGAAATTTTACGACGAACTATACTCTACGCATCGCGGGATATCTACACGTTTCTTCGACGGTAGTATTCGTGCGCTCGTAGCATTGACCTTACACAGCTGGTTCCGCGCGTCGCAGTATGCTTTTAATACAGATATTACATTGTTTTAATATTACACTTTTTTGGTACTTCATAATAATTCTCTACAAAATATTATTATTTCTTTATATTATGACCTAATATTATAGATTACATAATTTTAAATGAAAAAAGGCAGGATTTTTTTTAATTTTATCGGACAGAATATTCACTTATTTTAAGTTCAGAATAATGGTCTGAATTTACTGTTTTAGTTTTTGTCAACCTGTCCCTTACACCCTGTATATACCGAATTACGACATTTCAAAAACTTTGTTGAGCGTCTACCTTTTTTGTTTTAAAACTAACGTCAATAAAGAATTACAATCATTTCCAAGGAAAAAGAATTACAAATATTTCAGTCTAACGCGCCTTCTATACACGATCGCGTCCAAATTAATAGTTACATATACATATAAAAATCTTTAAACAAAATATAAAATAAAATAATGACGATAAGATTGTAAAAAAAAAATATTACTCACGAAGTAGGAGCAATATTGAAATCAAATTAACCGTTACACACTAAACTCTATCGACAGCCGATAATTGGGTACTTTACCCTACTTTACAAAAACCGAACGACCTAACCATACTTTGCTATTACAATTTATTTCATTTTATACAACCTGCTCGGAATCATCCCGCGTGCTAGACATCGCATCAGCAGTGGTTGTTGTAGCACTCCTATACAACTTCAAATTAGATTCTGTATAGTCGAGGATCTTCCTACTGGAATGTCTTATGTATAGCATTTGTTTGTGATATATCTTTAATGCACCCTTGATAGTTATGTATGTGAGTCCACCGAGTATGGTCCTGTGCAAGTTGTTTTGTATAGAACGGAAAAATATTTTCCCTATAATTGTAGAAATGGTGGGTAGGAGAAGCGCTGAACAGAATATCCTCGTGGGCGACAGGTGTGAGTTACTGTTCTGATTCTGATTGTTGGTCGGACCGGTCACTACGGCGCCTCTGTCGCCTTCGACACTGAAATGAAAAAGTTCATATTTAAGCACATAATTTTTACTTCATTTATGTTTAAGTAAAAGGACACACCACATTACACTAATGCAAGAGAAACAAAACTCGAAGTAAAACCATATCCCAAAGCTCCCGACTACTATAGTAATAAATATAAAAAAATACAGATCCTCGCTAGTATAATCCCTGTTTTTTTTTTTTTAATTGGGTAGGAACGGAATGATAATGCTGCGCCGCTGCCCGCCTGTGCTATCGGCATACGCTGGTGGGGCACCAGTGAGATGAGTGATAGATGAGGATGAAAGCAGGTTAGCTGGCCCATTGAGACGAATTTAACAAAAAAAATAACAACAATGGTACCGCGTAAAGGTTACCTGACAGAGTATATTGCTAGCAATAAGGCTTATAGACAGACCCTCAATATTAAAAAAAAAAGTTCCCCTGTATGATCCCTATTAGAACAGTCAAAAATATTTGTCGATTATTGACATTGTGTTGTGTTGAATGTAACCCTCGAGAATGTTTATGGTAATAGTAGCTAATATCCTCTTTCTATGAAGAATCCATGCCCGGTAGTGGGATGCTAACGACTTTTTATGGTAGAGAGTTAAATAGGACCAGAAGGAATAAACAAACTCACTTTCCAAACGGCAAAATATAGGCGAGGGCTGGTATCTTCGCACAGTACTTCCTTAGGAATAGGAGTACCGAATCCTCCCAATTGTACATCTTGGCGCTGATCAACGTCACCGGTATAGTGGGTAGCAAGACGAGCAGCACCAGGGGGTCGGCAGACTCCATCATCTCGAGACCCTCTCTGTGGCCAACCACCTGGAATAAACAAAATTACTTTCTAAAATAGATACCTAAATATATACTCGACGAAATGTGGTACTAGTCGATAAATGCCTCGAATTACCCCATTACATTAAGATACAGTCATGAAAAAACGGCGTTTTTTTTTATTAATTATAACAACTATATTAATTATGATTATTATTAAATCTGCAAAATATTTTTTTATACTACTTAGAATGGCAGGTTGTCTGTAAGAGATTGCTTTTAGCGATAAGGCCGCCTTTTGTATAACACATTCTGTATAAATACTCCTTGTATACATCTCTACTGTGCGCAATAAAGAGTTTATTATTATTATTAATGGCAAACAAGCTGACGGCTCACCTGATGGAAAGTGATAACCGTCGCCTATAGACATGAGCAGTACCATGGACATAACAGAATATACTGTTTCGCCCATGATACCCCCCCATGCGTTGCCATTCCTGAGGACTCAGGTGTTATTCCTCTGTACCCTGTAAATTCACGCAAAAGAATTGTCGATATTTCAACTTTAAATCGGCATTATAAAAATACAAATTATTCCAGAGGCTGAATCATTATAATTCCGTTGCGGTTTTCCTATATTAAAATCGAATTATGGTTCGCAAATCATAGTCCTATTTTTCAACTAATATTTTTAAAAGTAAAGACCTTTTTCATTCTTAACTTCTAACGCTATCTTTGGAGTGACACAACCTGCCTATGATTTTCCATAAAGATGTTTATCACTCAAACACGCTTCAAAGGCTGAACAGATTTAAATGAAATTTGAAACACAGATAGACCAATACTATCGTACAAGACACGTTTTTATTCATGCAAGCAAAACCACAAATTACAACTAGTGTCTTATAAATTGTACCTAGTGTCCGTCACGGACAGTGAAAGTGAGGTTAGTGAGTTACCTGACGAGCCTATTACGTAAATTAAATAAAAGTGATTGTGCAATATACAGATACTTTTTGGCGAACAAATGTAAATATAAGTAGACAGCGAACTTTGAAATAGTGGTTTTTGTTTAAAAAAATTCAACGTTTTAGATTTTACTGCTTAATAGCCGGAAAAATAGATGCTCTCAATTTGAATTAACACATTTTTCAACATTACATTTTGTCTTTAACGATGTCGAATACCTATTATGGGATTTAAAAAAGAACGAAATAATAATTTTAATTAATTAAACTTAAATTTAAGCATTTTTGAATAGTTATTTTATATGATTGTACCGCCCATTCGGAATGCAATTTCAGCTAAGAAGAACGAGCGAGAAACTCAGCTATTATTTTTTATTTTTCAAAAACTGTAAATAGTATTAGAATTCATTTATAACTTCAATCAATTATTGTATATTCTATGATATCCAAGATGTTATTCACATTTGAAAACCACGATTACCATAAAGTCGCCCATCGGTTTACCTGGCATTTCAAGTCATATAAAACAAATATTTATACTTCCAAATCTTTTGTCTGGTTTTTTTTATGTAAAGTCTACTTTTATAAAAACAAAGAAGTCAACAATCAGGTGATAAGATGTTATCAAGTTTTTGAGGTAGTAAGAATTGTTATTTTTGTGGTTGTTTATTTGATTTCACACTTATTTGAGATAAAATTGCAAGCCATAAAAATATACCGTATTTGATAAATAAACAAAGAACAAATAAAACAATGTACATAAAATTATTGGTATCTATTATATATACAAAAGATAAATTTAAATCAGGTGCTATTATGTCTGTACAAGTACTGGTGTAACACAGAAAATTGGATTGATTAGAGACAGACGATTGTTATTGACCCCAAAAACTCTTATTTCACGATAATATGTTTGTTACAATTATAGACAAACAAATAAATGAATTGTACAAAATGTCGAGGGCATCGTTAATGGATATAAGATTTATGGTTAGATTTCTTTTTTTAACTACTACTGCTATTACTAGTTTTTGCCCGCGTCATTATCCAAGTGACCGGGATATTATTATATTGATTGATCCGGATAAAAACTAATCATGTCCTTATCCGTCCCAACGTGTATATCCTAACAAGTTTCATGACGAAAAGCTAAATCTAACGACTTAATAAAGCGATAAGATGTAACAAACAAAATTACTTTTAATCGTACATCTATACTTAATACTCTTTATTACTAATATTATCAAGAAGAAAGAAATACAAATACAAATACAAAGACTTTATTGTGGATCATAGGTTAAATTAAGGTATTACATTAAAAGTAAGTTAGTTAGTAAAGGAGTTAAATAGTATCTCCATGTCCTGCTATATAAGCGTACAATATATGGAACAGTTAACAGTATACAAAACATAACATTTAAAATTATACAGTGAAACAAAATACATTTATATGAGACATTATTTTGTACAAATGATGACTATTTATCTTTATCATTGATATATTCGTCCAGGCTATAATAACATTTATTTATTAACATATCATGAAGGTTCTTTTTAAAAACATTTACCTCAGTCAATCCTCGTATATATTTTGGTAAGTTATTATAAATTATTACAGCTTTACAAAATATGCTGTCCTTCATCAATTTTGTTTTAGATGGTACTACACATAATTGGTCAATATGCCGAGCTCTAGTGCGAAATTTAAATCTATCAATATTTGTTTTTACAAAATTAGCACACTCATAAATATACAAACAAGGCACTGTTAATAATTTTAATTGTTTAAAATGTGGCATGCATGTGTCCCGCCTTCGCAAATTACAAATGGCCCGTATGCAACGTTTTTGATATTTCAAAACGATATCTTTATCAGTAGAGTTTCCCCAAAACAGTATGCCATACCTCAATAAGGAACCTACATGTGCATGATATGACGATAAAACTGTTTCCATATTAACAATTTTACGTAGTTTATACAAAGCATATGCATATTGACTTAATTTTTTACATGTATGCTCAATATGAGTTTTCCAATTAAATTTATTGTCAATGTATAAGAACTGATTGTTTATTTATTTGTATGTAACGGATATAATAAAAAAGTACTCAATCAATTTTAAAAATTCTTTTACCTATAGAAAACTACATAATCAACGAGTAACACTTGTCAATATATTATTTTCGAAAATTCCATCTACTCGTGCGAAGCCGGGACAAATCGCTAGTATTTTATAGCAATAGTCAAATTACTGAAATCGCAAACAAAAACAGACATCCTAATGGAAAATTATTTTCGTCACCTGTAAAAATGAACAGCCCAATGGACTCTACAGATAGTTTAGCGTACATTCAAGTGTTATATCTACTTCAGACGCCACTAGTCGCAACTTTCTTGCCCTTCGAAGAGAACATATCAACACGCTTTGCTTCATAATAAGTATAGTCAAGGTCAAGCAAAATCCTTAGAAGAATGCCGTGATAAAATATCCTGGTAACTTTTTTTCGGTTTAAATAGTTAAAATAGTGCTAATGTTAATTTATAGCGCAAATAATGAATCAAAAAAAGGAAATTCTATAATTTGCGACAATCATAATGTAATTAATAACGTTCATGCAGTAATATTGTCGAGAAATTTAAATAGGAATAAAAACTTTTATTAAATATATTTTAAAAGTAACGGGCTGAATTCTCACTAACTACCTACCTACTTACATAACAAAAACGAATTTAGCTTATTACATATTTAATACTGATATTATTTAAAAACCAACAGTAAATAGTTTCACGGAATCTTGATGATTTTTCTACAAAAATCCTAGATTCCGCGAAACCCACACTAGGATCTCTGATGTAACCAATCAAAATGAAATTTGATATAATAATAATAAATGAATAAATACATTGTGCAATACACGTAGTATTTGGGATCGAGAAGTACATAGGCTACTTTTTATCCAGGGCAATAAACATATTAGAATCACGCAGATAAAGTCGCAGTTAAAAGCTAATGGAGAATATTTTATGGGAAAGAGTCCCGTTCTTAGCAATGATGCGTTACTAGGTCATTATGACAAAATGCTCCAAATTGACACCGAATAACTATCGTATACTGTAACCGTGTAACTGACTTGTATCTAGCACAGTGGTCAATTGTAATATTTGTCCACTTAAAACATATGTTTAACAGTAATTGTGGACTACCGTTCGTGACTAGTCAAATATTCGCAAACATCCGAGAGCCGTGTTTGCCGTTATCTTTCATTACAGTGTTTTGATAACACGAAAATGACGTGCTAATTACTTGTCAAATAGGTAAATCTACAAACACCGTTCTCAAAGTGTAATCCACGGACGTCTGTAGGCCTGCAAAGTTTGTATGCAAAAAAACCGCCCAAAGAACATATTTTATTTATTAAAATAAGTACATTTTACAGGAATTTTCTATGACAGAATTCAGTAAGTAGTATATTAGTGTTTTCCGTTTGGTCACTAAAACTATTTTATTAATTTACAATAAACCAATATAATATTGTAAATATTTACTTTTCTTTAAGGAGTAAGCATAAAATTCTTATTTTAGGTCTCGAGAAATTCGGCTTGTACTAAAACAGTTTGAGAATCTCTGTACTACAAATACTTATTGAGTTATAATTTAAATCTAGACCGAGACTGGTCCTGAACTACGCACTCCTGACTGACTGACCTATTAAAATCATAGCTACAATCAGTATATTATATACAGCCTTAATCGGTGAGGTCTAAAATTTCAATTTTGAGTATAATTTCCTTTTATGATGTGGTGGTAAACTGTTACAGAAATGAGAGAAACAAGTATATTACGAATTTAATAATTATTCATACAAAATACTATTCACTAACTTACTTTTGGTACCTTCAAATATTAATCAGGAAGAGGGGGAGGGGGGTCGAATAACTTGTTACATAACTTTGTTTTTTTTTTTATATTCTTATTTTCGATGTCAGTATACATGTGTTTCACTTGTAGATAAAAATGGTCACACAGAATGTGGATGGTGTACAGAAAACTTAAACTTAGAAAAATTCTTTTTTACAAAAGACATTTTAATGCTACCAGATACGAATCTGCGTGTCACAAAAATATGTAATCGATATAAAAACAAAGCAAAACTCACCTGCATGACAGTGACCGCGCCGTACGTAATCGCAATCCAATATATAGAACCGAGCAGCACCCCGCCCGCTATGAAGGGGCATATCTTGTGGGTGATCTCCTCCATAGCATCGAGGAGTGCCACGAACGCACCCATCGACGGGAACACCACTATGTACTCAGCTTTACACTGGGGACACAGGACTTTCCGTGTTATGTTGCCGCGCTGTTTCTCGTCCACCCACCGTTGAAGACAGCTCTGGTGCACCTGGAACAAATAGATTTGTGAGTTAGTGACGTCATAGATTAAAAACTTTACCTTTTTCTATGATAATATAACTTAATACTATCAAACACCAATCTAATGGTATAAAAATGAAACTTAAACATTTACAGACAGTTTTTGTTTTTATCCGTTAAGATTACTGCAAATTCTCAAAATTATATAATTATAGATAGGTAAATGTCTGTGAACTTATAATGTCGAGGAACCTAGTGGAAAATGAAGTCAGATAGGCCACTATCTGACAAATACGCTCAACTAGGAGGACCGCGTGGTCACTTCACTAGTATCTTTTTAATGGAGTACGCTGCCAGTGTAACTAAATATTTTTTCCCTAAGTCTTAACTCGGAAAACGTTAAAAAATTTGTTTGATGTGCCATCTTATATGGCACCTCTAGCCGTCAAGTTTTTCTTAATAGAAAATAAAAAATGAAATGGTAACCCCGCCTGCATTATCAGTATAGGCTGGTGCCCCACCAGTGATAATTGATAAGCGAGGACGGAGCAGGTCAGTTGGCTCATTATGACGAATTCATCAAAAAATAACACGATAGTTTCCAGAGGAAACCTCGTGAAGGTCGACTCGATAGAGACTACTGCTAGGAATGAGATTTAGCCTCCCTATTACTAACATTTCCTTCAAACAAGATTTGATTTCCCATAAATTTCACAGGAGTGAAAAAAGAAACTGGCAGGCGCGAGCAAAGCCACGAGCTAGTATGATAATAATATTAAAATTTCATAGTTCAAAATAACAGAAATATTCTCAAGGTCACAAAACAATGATTTTGTTCACCTGAAATGAAATAGGAAGAACAAGTACCAAACTACATATCTATACAAAACATCTAGATGGTCGGTCAAATTAGTCGCGGTACCAAAAAGTTCAATGCGATTTTAACATTTCTATACCACTTTGACAATATAATGTGCCTACATAGGATTGCATCATAATCGAGTGTTAAAATATTTTCTTACTAGCGGCCCGTCCCGGCTTTTTTTACATTTTAAAAAGTGGCCATTAAGGCTGCACACGCTACAGAAGCTTAAAAATAAAGTAACTTCTCCCGTTTTCCCAACATTTCTCTTCACTGCTCTGCTCCTATTGATCGTAGCGTGATACTATAACCTGCCCAGGAGTATGAAGAATAATTGTACCAAGTTTCGTTAAAATCCGTCGAGTAGTTTTTGTTTCTATAACGAACATACAGACAGACAGAAATTTTACTGATTGCATTTTTGGCATCAGTATCGATCACTAATCACCCCCTGATAGTTATTTTGGAAATATATTTCATGTACAGAATTGACCTCTCTACAGATTTATTATAAGTATAGATTTTACGCGAAAGTATTAGCCGAGAATATGTATAATGAAACAAATAGAAATTCGCTTTGTGCATACAAAAAAAATTTACGAAAACTCAACGAGATAAAAAAAGAAAATGTCGTAATGTCGAAAATGTGTAGTTTATATTGTTCGCCAACAATAATTAATTATATATATAATTATTAATTATATATATATATATATATATATATATATATATATATATATATATATATATATATATATATATATATATATATATATATATATATATAATATATATAATAATTATATAATCATTAGACAATAATTTATTAATCTCTTTCCGATAAAATTCTTACTAATGTTGTAAATGTGAAAGCGAATTCATTTCTTTGCTTCTTCATTTATTTGTATTACTCAACGCCTTTGCGACTCAACCAACTGTCATGAAATTTATATATTTTTTTAATTTAATATTTTTATCTAAATGCGAGTACATGCATTACAAAAAATTAAAGTGTGTACAATGAAAGAATTAAACCAATTGTGTTATATTTCCTCGTAGGTATAGATAAAGCACTAAGTAATCCTAGGAAGAAAGAGCAGTTCCCGACTTGAAAAATCTAAACTTAAGTACTCATTAGAAATAGTTTTTTAATAAACGATAATGGAAATGATAACCCCGCCTGCGCTAACGGTATACATTGGCGGGGCATCAGTGAGAAATTAACCAGGGGAAACCGCGTGGAAGTCAACTTGATAGGGTATATTACTAGGAAAAGGATTGTGTTAAGTCCCTTTGCTTTTACAATTACAACCAATCTCTCCCCCCCCCCCCCCCCCTCAAAAATAGTTGACAATTGGTCACTTTCTTTCCTCAATAAACAATGTGCATTGCATACTATAATAATCTATATAATATAAAAAGTTAGTTCTAGCGAAAACGGATAGGATAAAAGAAAGCTATTTCAGTGGTGTTCAAAATTGAAAATCATAATCATATATATTTACGAAAGCTAAGTTTACTTTATTGCTTCTCATTGAACTCTAGACTAGCATAAACGAAGATAAGTATTTATAAACAAATGTATTTGATCAATATCGATTTGCGTGAAATTACGCAACTAAATGGAAAATTAAAATTGAATAATTCATCGCCAATTGAAACCGAAATTGCTCTTGATGATAAAATTTATGTAATTGTTGTTTAAAAATTGAAAAAAAAATCCCTGCACTTAAAATTATTGTACTGAAATAACATTTTGTCGTATTAAATCCCAACAGATTTTACATTCGCTAGCAGTCATCATCATCATATCAGCTTTTAAGTATCCACTGCTGAACATAAGCCTTCCCCATAAGGGGCAATTTTACTAGTAGCTGCTACGTTAGGCAGGCAGGTTGACAACCGCAGTTGGGCTTTAGCAATCTCTCAACTATTAAGTTCCCTTAGTCCCCTGTCACGACACCCACGGGAAAGTAAGGGATGGCCTATTCTATGCCGGGACCACACGGCGCTATAAGCTAGCTGTAATTCAGAGGAATTGCATCAAAATATAAGGCGGTCGACTCTTCATGTTACTGTCACGTGTATATTTTATAAGAAACGAGAATTAACGCGGTCATTAAGGTAATCTATGATAAATTTATCTAAATAATCGCGTCAAATCCCGTCTCTTATAAACCATATTTTTCAAATTTATCTTTGAAACTCTCTATAGGTCTAATATAATTAATTGATGCTAAACAATGCCTATAGACAAGAGCATTATTAGCGGCGTCCGTGCACCCTATGTAATTAACATAATCATAAATATGTATATAATGCATACTTCACATATATGTTACATTGTTTATAGACTCGCAGGATATATTCGCAAAAGATCTTATCAAATAACACGAGTGACGTTTAATTGTGGAGTGTGAATATAATTGTTGAGATAATCTGCTTAGAGATGTAAATATAAATTAGAATTGTTGAAAACAAAGATTGCCGTGTGGTCCCAGTATAGAATGGGCCATCCCTTCGTTTCTCATGGGTGTCGTAAGAGGCGACTAAAAAAACATAATGGTCGAGGGATGGGCAGCAGCGTCTCTAAGTAAGCTTAAAACATCCGTCTCTCTTAAAACATCACCAAAGGCTAGCTACGATTACCAATCTGTCTGCCAAGCATGGCAACTGCTGCCAAAACCCCCATTATGGGGGAGGCTTATGTCCAACAATGAACAGATAATGGCTGATATGATGATGATGAAAATAGAAAATAGTAAAAGAGATAAGACACCATCAATAAAGCTAAGGCACGTTTAGAGTATCCTAAACGTCACTAATATCAAGAAACCTCTGGAACCATAAAGCTTACGAACAAAATTACACAGAGATTCAACTAATTATTTAATTTATTTCACATAGACGAAACCATGGAGTCCCTTCTAAATATTACAATATACCAACCTGTATAACTTATATAATTTCTGAACTCACCACTGGAGATCCTTATATAACAGTGATATTTTAAATTAATATCGATAAGTAATTGTACATCCTTATCTATTAATTTTCAGATAATATTTCGAATCAACAAGTAGTTAGTATTACTATTTGCCCAGTGTTCTATAATTTAATATATATTTAATTAATGCTCTGAGCGTATTGACAAAATTTATATAGAGCTTTTATGAATAAATATGCAATTTTAAACATTCAATCACTGAGCAATTAATAACTTGCGTTCAATTTTATTTGATGTAATTTGACACTAAAGTGCTACAATATACTCACAACAGTATTATTTTTTTATAAATAAGACTGATAAGACAAAATAACATTTTTTTTACTTTTTGGGAGACTTCCAAAAGTTAAAGGTTCTCAATGCAATGCACTGTTTTTGTGACGATATTGTTACACGATTACGTCTCTATTTTAAATCAATTTTAATGGCTCTTTTTATAATTTATTGTTGGTTTTATGTTAATTTTATGAGAAAAAAACACTGCTTGTAAGTCATTATTTCGCATTCTAAATTTAAATATTTTTCACGTAATATATCTACGAATTATCTAGTCGTTTATCAGTATACGTATGTTCGCGAATCAAATCATTTCTTCGCGAAACAAAAAGATACTTGTCCATTAACGATAACGCTAATAGAATATTGCTTTATCTGTAAAACCTTAAGAATAAATTTTGTCACTAAATTGTTTCGTTACTTTAAAACGGTTGTCAAACGTGCCTGTAATGTGATTGGTAATTTACATTCGAATTCCATGCAATAAAATAACAAGACATGACAAATTAACAAAGCAACTGAAAACCTGACTATAAGCTTTTGACAGTTGCCAACAGAAAACATTTTTAAAATTTTATCATAGATGTGAATTACATTAAGATATTTTACTCGAATATAAATACATACAACATATCTGTATGGAGTAGGCAGAAACAATAAAATACCCAAATCTCCGATTCAAATACTATTGCTTTCTCAACATTAATCAATCTATTCATACATGCTCGCCAGTTATGAATACTTTTAATTTGGCCCTTCTTCCGCACATTACTTGTTTGGACATATGTCCATCTAGAGTGGCCCCTACCGACATCTCCATTCTTGCTCTATCTCTTTCGAAATTATTCCTCCCTGCTTTTGTTTAACTATTTATGGATAGTTCAACAATTTATTACAAAGTATCGCAAACTACTTTTTCAAGTTAACTGGAAGAAAATTCTAGTAAAAGATATATCCACCTCTTGAAGTGTACTTGTGAAACTATGTATTTAATTTATATATTATAATAAAATGTTACAAACATTCAATTATTATTGATGATTAAGTTTTGGTAAATGAAATAAATGATAAGGACTTATCAGACAGTTTTATCTTGATAATGAATCATTTTAACATAAATAAGTTATAAGTTATTGGCCCTGTAGTTCCAGTATAGAATGGACCACCCTTTCTTTTTCCATACTTATCATAAGAGACAACAGACAGAAAATTTAATAGTTGAGGGATAGGTATCTGTTTTATAACATCACGAAAGCCTAACTGCGGTGGCCAACCTGCCTGCTAAGTGTGACAACTACTGGCAAAACCCCCCAAAAAGGACACCTATGTGTCAGCAGTGGATGGTTAGCTGCTGATATGATAATGATGATAAATTTACAGGTATATTAATGATGATAACATAAATAGATTCATTTATATAATGATGACCCCCCCCCCCAGAATCCCTGGCGACAACCCCTGATCGCACAAAAAGTTGATGAATGCAAGTGGGGCACTTATTGTGGCAAAGAATTATAACAATGATAACATTGATTATCATTTAATCCTTACTAATATAATATTATCTTTAATGATATTACAAATTTGAAAATGAGTTTTACACATTCATATATCCCAAACATTTCAATGATGTCCCAAGTAAAAGCTAATATATAAATAAATTTATGTATTTTTTGTTTTCTGTGTGTTTATCTTTAGTGTTAATTTTGTGTTCATAATCAAGCTTGCTAAAGTGTGGCAATGTCAAAATTACATTTAATATTTAAATTAAGATGACAAAAATATTTGTGAATTAATCAAAAAAATTTTAGTAGTACATTTATATACATCAGATTAACTATCTGTATCCTTTCTTTGTAAATCTAATTGTAAAGTAAGTAAATAATAAATATCTAAATATAAAATATCAAACCCTGCCAGCACATTCAGGGTAACAGTGAGAGATGACAATATAAACTAGTCAGTTTACCCATCATAATGAATTTACCAAGACATAATTACAATTGTTTTCAGAAGGAACCATGTGGAGTCCGATCTAATATGGTAGTCTACTAGGACTGTTAGATTTCATTACAAACAAACTGTTTAACCCATTCCATGGATACCCAGGAGCAGAACTATGTGCAAAAACATGTTTGAGTTAATATTGTGACTTTTTAAGGGTCCAAATCCCTACCTGAAAATAATCTTAAATACGCCAATGCATGGAAATAACATGTTAGTAATTTAAGGACAAAACAGATACATACATAAAGTTAAAAAAGTCAAGGCTGCATATAAATTTGTAATCAATAATTACACTACGAAATGACACATAAAGTTACAAAAAGAACACAAAATTCAGCTCATATCCACTAAGAAATCAGTCCTAAATCCTAATCCTAAATCAGACATGGTAACTTACCCATTTTGTTGTGCCAATGCATTTGCACGGTTGCACCCATGCTGCTAGCCTGTCATCAGCTTCGGTAGCAAAGCACACCCAACACGACTTCACATTGTCGTCATCTGCCGGCTGTAGAGCCTGAGAACTCCCCATACTAGATTCTTGTAGTCCAGATGCTTTCTCACTTGACATGACAAACTGCGTCGCGATAAGATTAAAAAACAGTCACACAAATAAACACACAAACAAAACGATAAATAGTAAATATCCGGACATATATTTTCGATAGAACTCGTAATTTACAGACACGTTTTGTTTCTCCTACACCATGAAATTCAATTACAACTCAAAAATCCAATACAAAATATTAATTGAACACAAAACACCACATCACACAGGTGCTAAATGTACAGAGACAAATTGTTTGTGTCACCCTAAAGTGTCACCACAACCACACCACAGAGAGAGCAACAGGATTGCCAGATGCTAATTTTTATTTTGCCAAAAAACTTTACTCCAAATTGATTCGATTTTCATGACTTTTACCCAATTACAAACTTGTATCATTTTTCACTTTGTTTTGCCATGTACCACAAAGTGAGTAGCAAAAAAATCTTCCTTTCATTTATACTTTTAGCTTATCCTGCCTTCTTTCTCTCTTGCCCTATCCTCTAATGGTGGTAATAATCTTTATGGTTTGCTAATTTCATCTATATATTTTATTGTATTTACATATCTCTATACATTTTACAAATACTAAAATTCTTGTATATAATTACCCACATTTCTCCAAGACCATTTTACTTTTCTCCGAGGATTTTATTTCTACAAAATTTCCCTAATAGTGAATGTTTTACCTCCAGAAGTAAAAAATACCAAATCTGGCAACACTGCAAAAGAAGTAAGTTGAAATTTTGAACATGTATTACTTTGATTATTTTTATATTATAGTTACAAATAGATACATAACTATAGATACGGTAACTTACGAAGCATTGTAAAGACTTAAATTCAAAGTTTATCCTTATGGTGTACATTTAATGAAGTCGAGTACAAAAGGACTGTATCCAGAACCATAAAATATATATAAAAAAAGTAATTATTACGGTACATAAGAGTCGACAGTATCTTTATATCAAAGAAATTTAAAAATGAATGTGTGTTATTATCTCAAAACAAAAACAATATAATAAATGAATATTCGTAGTGTTGCATGACTATCTATATTCAAATGCATATAAATAGTTATATGAAATAGAGTGTCTTGAAAGACACTGAGGTAGTGTCTTTCAAGACACTTTATATTTCATTTCAATCCGTAGTTTAATTCACCAGTTGTAGTTCACCAGAGGGAGACTTTGTACAAAAGTCGATTGCTTGGGCACCTCTGTCCCATTCGTGTTTCAACCGTGAAGCAGTTGTGTTTGCATGACTGTGTTTCGGTTTGAAGGGTGGGATATGGCGTGAATTTACAGGGTACAGAGGAATAACACCTGAGTCCTCAGGAATGGCAACGCATGGGGGGTATCATGGGTGAAACAGTATAGTCTGCTATGTCCATGATACTGCTCATGTCTATAGGCGACGGTTACCACTTTCCATCAGGTGGGCCGTCAGCTTGTTTGTCATTCTAAGTTGAATAAAAAAAAAAAAAAAAAAAAATAATATATTTAAATTTAATAAAAAAAATCTTCAATAAAAAATATGTTTGATACCGGAGAAAGACTTTGTATAAAAGTAGTCTTCACTCACAAACACCAATGGAATGGGGCAGAAATACCCAATACTATTACAATTTCCTAATAAAATGTCTCCTTTTAAAATAAAAAATAATTTTAGTCACATTTTAGTTATACAATGTAACTGTAATAATATTATAAGTACAAATAGGGTTATAACGAAATAGTAACCCTACCCGAGCTATCGGTATATACCGACGGGGCACCAGTGAAGGATGATAGATGAAGATGAAGCAGGTCGGTTAGCCCATCGCGACGAATTCAACAAGAATTGTTCACAATGGTTTCCAGAGGGAACCACGTCGATGTCGACCTGATAGGGCATATTGTTAGCAATGGAGCTGTCAAACTCCATTGCTAACAATCTCTTTCCCCCCAGTACAAATAGGGTTGTTTCTCTTATATGCGTGTATGTTTGTATATATTCTAAAAATTTAATACATGTTTCTCTTTCAGATGCTGTTTAACTCGGCACAAACCTTTTAACTATTGCTTAATACACCAAAGTGAATTTGCATTATTCACTCGTCAAAAAATTTTGATTTAAAATTAAAGTAGAGAAAATAAAGTAATTAAACATGCTTGTATTTGTTGTACTTTTACAATAAAAAATGAAAATTTTATATTTCGATCTAGCGTTTTTATAACAACAGTCGATATCAATATTTCGATGGAGGCATATAAAGATAGTGGTAACACTATGGTTGTTCCTTTTTTTTATAATTTTCTTTGTGTTGTTACTACAAAAAACTAATATGGATTTCTTGTACAGGTTTCGTGCATATAATAAAACCACTGTCAACTCTTATATCGCAGATATGGACGACTTACTCTATCTGTGGTAAATTTTACCTATATCTACTTACGTATATACTTAATATACTTACATACTTAAAATGAATTTTTATTAATTAAAATTTCTAAGTTTTGTTTATAAATTATCTAAGTAAATTATTGAATTAGAAACCGAATAATTAAAGCATATTTGGTCTATTATAAAATAGACTTACGTACACTGACTACTGTTTCACACGACGACGTTCAGGTAGGTTAAAATGTTTATATTAGGTTTACTGTTTAAAACTAATTGTGACTAAAAATTATATCATAAGTTGTTTTTTATTATAACGTAAGTAGTTGTTCACTTTCTAATTCACTTAATTTATTTACTGACCCTTGGGCCTAATTATATTGTAATTATATGAAGGTTCTTAGTTATACATACTTTTTGCTTTATATAATCGTATGATGCTTATAACTATAGTTCTAATGTACTAATCATTTAATACGAACGAACCCATCTCAATATTATTTTCTAAGTTCTTTTAAATTGAAGTAGGTACTTACCACAAGCTTTGTTCCAATTCTCAGTATATTAAATATGGTATCTATTATTGGTTCCAAGGCAGCTTTTTATTTTTCGAGGGATACATTTTAGTAATAAAATACTAGTGGGATATTGGACTAGTAGTCCAATATCCCACTAGGGCATAATAATATATAATCTAAAATGTACATCAGTGCATAATAATTATGTGTAAATAGAAATAATTGACTCAGTAAGAAAGTTAATAGTTCTTTCTTGAAAGTACAATATGAATAATCCCTTCTATTGAAGAACAATCATTAAAATTGAAGATATGCCTAAACAAAAAATATATAATCCATATAAAATTATTATCCCTTTTTTAAGTTGAAATTAATAATTTATTAATATTTTTTTTTTGTTTTACATTTATTATTTTTTTAAAGAAAAATTTAAAATTATACATAAAATTAAATTGTAATTAATTTGTTATTTAATAATTTATTTAAAATGAATACATTTTTTATGCTTTAGGTTACATTACTGTAACTTTCGAAGGGTACTTTTGTATGTTTATCCATTACAAGAAAACATACAAAAAAAAAAAAATTTTTTTTTTTATACCACCGAGGTGGCAAACAAGCATACAGCCCACCTGATGGTAAATGGTTACCGTAGCCTATGAACACCTGCAATACCAAAGGTATTACGCATGCGTTGCTGTTCCTAAGGAAACCTCTTTACCTCCCTTTTGAAAAATGTCAGCAGGCAGCTCGTAGCCTGAGTGTTCGTGGGAGGCAACATCTCTGAAACCACGCTGTATGCGACCATTGAGGCTGTAGGATATATATAGATAGTAAATCTTTGCTCTTTATAGTATTAGTATATATTTAACTTCTTTTCATATCCCACACATTGCACAAAATGTTGATATGTGTGTTATCGCATATTATTGACACATACATTTATGTTTACAAAATTATTATACTTAGATAAAACAAATTAAGTAAAAATTATTTTTATTAATAATAATTAATCTTAAAATTACTTTATAATATTTACTGTGTAAACTTAGTGTTTTTTGCTGTATTTGTTGTATTTTTGTCTGAAATTGTTTATGATTATAAAATAACACTGTGTTATTTGTTTTATAATGATAAGCAATTATAGCAAATTAATTGCTGATAGATAATAATGAAATATTCTAATTTGGATTTTTCTGATAGGAAAGTACAAATTATAGAAACATATAGGGTATACATTCATCTCATTTCTATCTTTTCTTATTATTAAAGTTATATTTATTATAATTGTCAATTCAAGTTTATCAAATAAAAGAATGTGTTTGAAAAATAGGTATGTAATGATTTAATTAAAGTTTAACTTCTTTAGGTAAAAACTGAAACATTGATTCTAAAATTCAGGCTGTGTGATGTTATTAGCTTATAGGACTCTGATGTTTGCTCTGACTTGGTGACTGAGTTCATTATTATAAAAAGAAAATTTTGAGTGGCGACAGTGCACCTAAAAAATATTAATTATCCATAGAGATTATTCAGAACTTAATTCTAATTATCAAAATATGGGGTAGACCTATATTTAATATTGGATAAGGACAAGAACAAGATAATAATTAAAAAGTTTTTAGAGAGAATTATAAAATTAAATTCCAAAATTTCATTCATTTACGAACTACAATGCCTTTGACGTACAGACATACTTTTAAAAACACTTATTTGAGGTGCATTACTTTCGATCCACTTTTAGTAATATTACCTCAACGTAGCCGATCTGCTATAAGTCACGTATCCCTTCCTATCTGCTATTTACCAATGAATAAAACTTTTTGCATAATGACCAACGAATATAGCCAACACTGGATAACCTTGAGTAGGACACGAGGGGGGAGACTCGAGCACGACAATCACAAGACACGATTAACGCTCCGTGTTACCGCTGGCGCTCCCGCCAGTGCTCACTAACGGCGCGACACATACGCGCGTTGATGCGCGTATCCGTAGCATATACTCGTGTTTATTAACTTTCACTAACTTCGACCCTGTATACAATTGCGTCACTTATCCAGATCTCTAGGTGAGCCTGTTTATTTACACCTGACATTAATCATGTAACTAAATCTATATTCTAAATGTCGCAATTACTTTTATTGGTATAAGATGATGATGTATTGTTACGAGATACCTATATAGATGGTTAGAACTCCGTTATCAAGACGCTTGACTTGTCTGTCATTGCTAAGGTGCAGTTTTTATTTTTTATAAAATGATTTAAACCCAAGCATCGGATGTTACCTATATAGAACAGGTTGTATAAGTTAAGTAAGACTTTTGTTATTTAAAACAGGTTTTTTTTTTTTCGAAAAACAGCAAACTTCTACTTTATTTGTAGTAAATTAAATATGGGACCGACATAGAAGTAAACCCTAAAATAAAATTATCAAAAACGATTTTGAATTGGCTAGTACATTGCGTAACTAAAAAAAATGCACGAAATCTCTTTTTAGAGCCTATCAAAATATTAAAATTAGTATATACATGAAGTTAAACAGTATAGTTGGCATCGAGTATATATTGAAGTATGATATTGAAAAAAAAAAAAAACACTACTACCTTACCAAAAAATTGATTTCAAATTGTAAAATGATGATATGCAGCCTCATTTAGATTTTTTTAACGTTTCACCACTGGCTGATGTAAGAAAAGTAAGGTATTTAGAAATTGTGATGGAATAAAGAAACATACATACATGAACCCCGAATATATTACATTACTATTTTTTACACTCCTATTTTTTTATATTCATAAAAAATCCCAAAGGCCCTAAGCGTTTGAGTTACATTACTTAACTTTTTAAGTTACATAAAATGTATGCAGTCTCGAACTTGTTCTAAACAAAATTTTTATGTAAATACAGTTTAGATTTAGATATCCAGTACAACCATAGGAAGATATATGTGACTTAATGATCGAGATAAACAGTTTTAGTAGCATTAACACAATAAACTATAGATACCTATATTGTGTACATAAAAGGTCTTGGCATTAAGAAACATACAAGATATAAAATATGAACTATGTGCGTAAATAAGGAAAATAATTATATTATGATGCTCTTGATCATTTAAAGGCCTCTTGTTGGATCTGTGGACTCGACTAATTTCCTTAAAAAACACGACAGTTAAGTTTTATTTTACTTGATTCACGTAGCTACCCCTTCACATACACACTTCAGTGAGATTTACTCCTCTATAGATCTAATACATTTACCCCCTTCACATACACACTTCAGGTAGATTTACTCCTCTATAGATCTGATACATTTACCCCCTTCACATACACATTTCAGTGAGATTTACTCCTCTATAGATCTGATACATTTACCCCCTTCACATACACACATCAGGTAGATTTACTCTTCTATAGATCTGATACATTTACCCCCTTCACATACACACATCAGGTAGATTTACTCCTCTATAGATCTGATACATTTACCCCCTTCACATACACACATCAGGTAGATTTACTCCTCTATAGATCTGATACATTTACTCAGCTAACTCTCAGACTTCAAATTTTCTCAATCAACAAGTGAGCATATTGGATGCCTCGCGTCCTAATACTATAAATATTAATTCAGTTTCAGTTCTTTGATAATTTACCTTCTTACGAGAGAATATGTATTGTTTCGAATTGTGAAAAACCAAAAATTGCTAGATAAGTTTAGAGACGCTAGCAAATGCTATTGTTATCAAAATTTAAATAATTTTGATAACAATAGCATTTTCTAGTGTTATCTCATTCATTCATTCATTCATTCAACTCATTATTCAACATTATTCAAATTTAAATAAATAGCAAGTGTTATGGTACCTATTGTTATAACAATCCAACAGGGGGTGGGAGGGGGGAAAGGGATTGTTAGTAATATAGACTAAGAATCCCATTGCTAGCAATATACTCAACCAGGTCGACCTCTTCGCGGTTCCCCTTGGAAACTATCATCATCCTTCTCCTCATTGATCATCAGATTGAGATCATCCTTCATTGGTGCTCCGCCGGCGTATCCCGTTGGCGCGGGTGGGATTACCATTCCATTTTAATCCATCAAAAAAAAAACTAACTTCCCCATTGTTAGCAATATACCCTATCATGTCGACTTCCATGTGGTTTCCTATGGAAATTATGGTAGTTAATTTGAATTCATCACAATGAGCTAACTAACCCGTTTCATCCTCACCTATCACCCTCACTGGTGTCCCGCCAGTGTATATACAAATAGCGCAGGCGGGATCACTTTTTCATCCATTAAAAAAAATAAGGCAATAGAGGGCCTCTTCTAAAGTACTTTGTTTTGAAGTTGATTAAAAATATAATAGTAAATTTGGATACTCATCACTTGTACAAATACCAATACAAATACCTTAAATACAGGTTATATTTGAGGTATTCTTACGATATCACCAAAGAATTTTCAACAGTAGGTATATTAATATTAGGCCACGTGCAAATATACTAAAAGCAGCCAGTAACCATACACAATTTTAATCTTTACTAATACAGGGTTATAGGAGAAATAAATCCCAATTGTTAATTAATTATTCCAAAGTCAAATAACTTTAAGTATGTATACAGTGTAAATTTGTACACAATAATAATTTTGCTTTAGTACCTATAGCCGTGTGTGCCCCGGCTATATATAGAAACTCCTTCCTTTCC